AGAACAGCAAATATACAGTGACTGCTCCCCTGAATATTCCCCTCAATATCTTCCAATTCATGGCTCCAGCACTCCCCACGCCGGGAGGCAGGATTTTTGAAGTTAATAGCCTTGGATGGATTTTTTCTTCCGTGAATTTGTGACACGGGGTGATAAAAATCAGATAAATGAGGAAATCACGGAAATAAGGGCAAGTAGTAGGCTGGGAGAGGGATGGGCAGCAGGAAAAAGTGCTGACTGTGGGGAAGTGCCCTGAAGCCGACGGCAGAAGGGAGATGTTTGTGTCTGAAACCGGGAACTGGCGCAAAGTTCAGGGAGGGAGGAGAACAAGCGCAGTGGGACACAGGCTGCAAGGCAGGGGAGCGGCAGGATAACCACGGCCTCATCCCAGGGATGGCTCTTCCTTCTCCCATACCCCTGACAGCACTGTCCCTTTTCCCTCAGCAGGGATGGTCCTGCCCCTCGCTGTGCCGGCGGCGGGGTTGGCTCTGCTCACTGACCGAACAGGAGGTGATGCTATTTTTGTCTTGCTTTTGCCAGGCAGTGAGGGCACTGCAGAGGAGCAGCCTATGGAAAATAACTTTGTTCTGTGAGGTGGCCGATTCCCCTGAAACGGGCTGGAAGAGGAGCAAATGGATTGGCAATGACAGCCTTTCATTTCCAAGCGGGGAGGATTGAGAAGTTAAGGGAGCTAATTACCAGAGTCAGGTGGAACGAGCTGCTAAAGGGCTTTGACACGGCGGAGGCTTGGTGACAATGATTTCAAATGAAGGAGAGGTGGTGGATTTAATATAGCCAGGATAGCAGGAGAGCCGGGATAACTTCACCTGGGAAGGTGTCTGCAGAGTGGGGGTTGGTGTTCAGAGATGGCTTTTGCAAAGCAAACCCAGCAGCTGGACCCGGCGGGGTTGCAGATGGGGAAGTCACTGCAGGGACATCCTGAAATTATGTGTGGTTTATTCCTCTTCAAGTTGTGCGTGGTTTATTCCTCTTCAAATTGCGTGTGGTTTATTCCCCTTCAAACTGTGTGTGGTTTACACACCTTCAAATTGGGCATGGTTTAAAATTCAGCCACGAGCCCGCCTGTTTCCAAAGGCCACCTGAGACCTCCCGCTCACGGGGCCACCCTCCCTGTCTGGCTCTCCACAGGGATTTTAAAGCAAGGCTGGCTTTAGGCTTTGGCAGTTCCCCAGGGCTGGCAGGGGGAAGCCCCTGGGGCTGGGCTGTGCCAGGCTGTGCCCAAGCCGCATTGCAGAGCCGGGTTCAGGCAGCTCCTGTCGTCCTCACCACGTGTGATTTACTGTCCCCCAACGGCCTCCTGCAAGTTTTCCGCAGGACTTTCAGGACTGTGCTGGATTCTGGCTGCTCCAAAGGGATTTTGCCTGCGTGACCCATTTAGCAGCCTGGCTGGGCACCTCTCCCTGCAAAAGCTGCTGCAGCTCTGCGTTGCTTTTTGAAGCTTTCAGGTGAAAAAGCAGCAGTTGTCTCGCAGCTGACATGCTGAGGGCTTCTCTTTGTTTGCTGTTCTCACGCATCCTGGAGAAACTGTATTTTGGGCTCTACCTGCCAAAAGAGGCGACAGATGTTGCCAATTCCCGTGTGACAGAGGCTTCAAAGCCATGTGCCTGCTGCTCTCCTTCCTCAGCATCCCTGCTGCTCTGCTCCTGCAGAAACTTTCCCCGTGGCCAAAGAACACGTCACTCGGGTTCATTTTTTTAGTGGCTGAGAATATTCCTGACCTGGGGGATGTGGCTGCCTGGAGACCCTCCCCGTGGTGTCAGCTCGGCCTCTGCTCACTGAAACCTCCCTGACCGAGGGATGTGCTTGGATTTCGGCTCCTGCTGACACTTTGGACACTTCATCGGGCTGAGTCACTCTGGGGGGAGCCTCTTGCCTCTCCTCCCTAACCATCTCCTCCAGCTCCCCGGGAAAGGCGCCGCGGGAGCCCCGAGCGCGGCTGCGCCGTGCGGAGCGGGATCCTTGAGGAACAGCGGAGCAGTTCGGAAATTAAAAGCCATTTCATTATGGGAAATGAATGTTTAATGAGCGTGGGATGACGTCTAGACAGCCCCTCGGTTGCAGGCTCTGGGAGGAGGGCTCAGCTGACGCACCAGCACCGGCTCAGAGCCCAGGGGGAGGTTTGGCAGAGCTTTCCCGGGCGCTGAGGTCCCCGTGTGGGACAGACATCCTGGCACAGAAAGGAGCTCCTGCCTCCACGTCTTCTCGCTGCAGATGCCCCTCGTGCCTCTCTGGGCAGAGCCCCAAGGATCTGTGGCCACAGAGGGACGTGCTGGCAGGGGGAGGCTTGGCCGAGTGCCTGGCCCCAGCCTGGAGCACACAGCCACACTGCCCTGCTGCCTGGGGAATGGGAAAGCACATCCCAGCCTTTGCCATGTCATGGGCTCTGGAGTCGTGACACGAAACCTGGGCTGACCTGGGGACAGCCTGGCAGGTTGTACTTGTGAGCCTTTGGGTCCTGCCCAGATGAAGATGTTTTATGGCTACAGAAATAGGGGTTTAAATGCAGAAACTTGGATGTAGGTCCCCAAAAGACCCCCCTGCCATGCTGGAAATGCTGACTGTCCTCTGCAGAAGCTCTGTGCTGCTGATGTCAGAGGTCCTGGCTGCCTGGTGGGGAGAGGCAGGAGCACATCAGCTCCTCCAAGAAATCTCTCCAGCTCCCATCCCAGGCACAGAGGCCGCTGGCTCAGTGTGCTCGCCCTGGCTCAGCGCAAGCAACCACAGACATGAATTTTGAGGCCTCTTGGCAGGGCCAAGGAGGTGGAAATAATGCCCTTTGACTTCTTCCCAGGGGCTGCCTGCTTGGCTCTGGGATGGCAGCAGGGAATGAGCCCAAGGCACTGTCACACACAGCACGGGAGATGCTGGTAGGACCCCCCTCCCCAGGCACCCACCCTGCTCTGTCCCCCCTTTAGCACCAGCAGTGTCCCCTGCAGGGATTCCCAGACTGAAGAAGTGCTTTGATGTTCCTGGAGCTGGTGATGGGGGAATTGCTCCCTGGGACACCTCATTGTTCCTGTAAAGCTTCAGGGATGGGATTGATGCTGCAGGATCTGGTGCTGGGCAGAGCTGTGCACAGGGCTCCCAGGGGAGCTTCTTGGCATTCCCAGGATGCTGAGGTTTGAGAAGCTCCTTGGTTCCTGGGCCTACCCTGACCACCCCTGAGAACAGCCCTGAGTTGTTGGAGGTGTGATGTCCCCAGGAATGGTGGCAGTAATGGCACCTCTGTGCCCAGGGGAGAAAAATCCCACATGTGTAGAGGAGTACAGTCTCTCTCCATGGGACATTTCACTCCAGCTTTCTCAGACTCTGGGATTTCTGCAGCGTGGACACCTACAAACCACTGTGCCAACAGCCCCTGCCTACAAACCACTTTGCTCATGGCACGTCACATCCTGGTGTCTCAGGGGGTCGGTGGGACCTGGGGATACCATCTGAGGCTGATGGGGAGGGCTGGGTGTCATCTTCTGAGGGTTTGTTTTTGTTTTCAGCCTCCTTCAGTTGTCTTTTCCCTCCCTGCTTTGCCAAGGCATTTCCATATGGGTGTGGGAGGTTGGGAGAGCCACAGGCCGAGGGATTGGGGGTGGACTTTGTGGAACTGGTCTCCTGCTATATTTATCCAATGGACACGGTCGAGAAACCAAAATATAGTATTTTCCAAGAGCATCATGAATTTTACCCAGCCTCAGACTTCCTAGAGCTGGGTCCCTGTCTGATTTCTTGCTCCCCAGAAAGCTTGGGCGACATTTTTTTGGGACGTTTCCCTCACAGCCTCTGTGCACTGGGGAGGTCATGGCCCTTCAGCAGAGTCTTGTTAGGCACTGGGAGGACGTCCTGCAAGACCTGCCTGGCTGCTGGGAAAACATCTGGCTGGATCTTGCCGAGACACACACGGGGTGCTGCTGCCATATGGCAGCTGTGAGGCAACAGCTCAGCTCTGAGCTTTGCTAACGCACAGAAATCCTGCCTGGGAGCCTGTGCTGAGCTGCTCTGGGCAGGAAGCAGTAACCACAGAACTATATATACAGCTCCCAGCAGAGCTGCTGCTGCTGCTGCTTTTGATGTGACAAAACGAAGTTGGTGTTTTGCAAAAAAAAAATCCGTCGTGTCGCCTTCTTCCGGAGCTGACACGGAGAGGGCAGAGCTGGGGCTGGCTCCTGGGTGGGCTCCAGCAGGAGAGCTGGGATGGGAAAGTGGGTGAGGAGGTCTGGTCACCTCCAAAACCCACGTGCTGCTGGAGGCCACGGGGTCCCTGAGCCGTGGGGAGCAGCCACGTGTTGGAGTGTCAGGGGCTGTGCTCTGCCCCCGGCTCCTGCCAGGGTTTCACTGAGCCAGTTTGGATGGTGCCACGGCTGAGGATTCCAGGAGGGTCTGGGCTTTTTCCCTGCGTGGAAGTTGAATGCGTGGAGATGGCAAATGTCACCCACAGGGGATGAAGCCTGGCCCCAAAGGCCAGTTGTCCCCCAGAGGACATGTAGCCCCTCATCTCCTGAAATCAGCGCCCAAATCCCACCGTGCCCCTTTGCTGCCTGCACCCCGACCCTGCCAGCCCCCCACGCAGCTGGGCTGGGCTGGGCATGAGGCTGGGACCCCTCTGCCCCTGCCCTTGGCAGGTGAAGCTCTAAGGTTCAACAGGACCTGTAGTCTGTGCCTCAGGCAGGTGAAGCCCTGCAGACCTGCAGGACCTGTGGTCTGTGCCTTGGGCAGGTGAAGCTGTGAGGTGCTGCAGGACCCCTTCCTGGGCAGGTGAAGCTCTGAGGACCTGCAGGACCCCTTCCTGGGCAGGTGAAGCTCTGAGGACCTGCAGGACCCCTTCCTGGGCAGGTGAAGCTCTGAGGACCTGCAGGACCCCTTCCTGGGCAGGTGAAGCTCTGAGGACCTGCAGGACCCCTTCCTGGGCAGGTGAAGCCCTGAGGACCTGCAGGACCCCTTCCTGGGCAGGTGAAGCCCTGCTGTGCCTCTCCTGTGCTGTTTTGCAGAGCGGGGCTGACTACGGCTTCCTCGTGAGCCAGAACACGAAGCTCCTGAGTGCCCTGGAGGACCTGCGGCACCGCTGCTCCAGCCTGGCCGAGGAGAACAGCCTGCTGGTGAGCAGAGGACACATCCTGCACCCTGGCTGGGTGCTGGCACGGGATGCTCCACAGGGAGGGAGTCCTGGCCAGGGCGAGCTGCTGTCTGCTGCCAATTCCAAGAGATGCCGCACACGGGATCATCTGGGCAGGGCCAGAGGGGATAGGGGGTCTGGGTGCTCTGGGTGCCATCACACTGCACCCATCAGCTTGAGCTGGACCCCTTCCTCGAGCTGCAGAGCAGAGCCAGGCAGGGGAGGGGAAGTTGCCCTTATTTCCTCTTTAACTATATTTGATTCTGTGAAAAGCAGAAACACTGATTCACTCGGCCTGGTCTCGGCGTGACAGTGCAGCACTGCCCCCTGCTCCTATGGGAGCTCAGCACCCCGATCCTCCCCAGCTGCACCCCGGCACCCAACACCAAGCCAGGCTGCCACAGCAGCCTTCTGCCCTGTTCTGCCCTGCTCCCCCATCCCTGGCTCTCCAGGCCCATCAGGAAGCACAAAGAGGGGATATTCCCCTCCCGAATCCTCCCTGGAGAGCATCACCCCTTGCCCAGCCCCGCAGCGTGGGGATGCAGCCACCCCGGGCCCCTGCAAATTTGATTGCTCAGCATTTCAGATTTCTATCACCACATTCAAAATGCATATTGTAGATAAATTTCTTGCACTAAAAGCATAAATTCCACGTGGCCTGCACCCCGGGGTTACCCCTTATCAGTCCTCTGGGTTCTAGCGAAGCACGGGCGTGTGAGCTCTCATCAAATTGGACTCTCAAAAACCAGCCTCAGCCTTACAGCTGAGCCGCCCTTGGTGGGGTCTCACAGGGGTAGGGAGGGAAATAATCGTGAGCCTCAGCTGACCTGACATTTCTGCTGATGTGAAAAGACAGCACAACACATCTGGGCCCGACCTTGGGAGAAGGAGCCGTCGGCAAGAGGCGGCTCATTGGAACGGACAGATAACAAATAAAAGGGGATTAAGAGCGAACAGAATCAATAGGGAGAAAAAGGAAATTTGCTTTGCAAATATCATAAAGTCCTTTGTCGCTTCCTCCGAAGCTCGTGCTTTGGTGTCAGGAGAGAAAAGACACGGATAAGCTTGTCCTGGTGGTGCAGTGCAAATCCACAGGGATGTGCTGAGTCCTGTAAACCCGGGGAAATAAACTGGGAAGACTTTGGAGGAGAAAGCCCCAAAGGGTGGGCAGCCAGGATACACTGATGCTGGAGACATGTTGAGTCCTGGCAGAGCCTGCAACGAGCAGGTTGTGGATGGAGAGCGACCACGTGGGATGGTCTGGGGATATCATAGGGAGCAAGAGGTCACATTAACAAAAATAGCAGGAAAACCACAATTTCAGTGACTGGAGAGGCAACAACAGCAGAGGTTGGTGTTTGATGGTTTGGGTAGTTCTAGAACAGGTCAAGCAGGACCAGGGACATTGGCTCCTGATCAGGGGTTTCACCTCCAGCTTCTTTTTCTGTTCTGCAGCGCAGGAGCTGCTTCCCCCAGACGGAGGAGAAGGTGAAGCACCTGAAGAGGAAGAACGCGGAGCTGGCGGTGATCGCCAAGCGCCTGGAGGAGAGAGCCCGGAAACTGCAGGAGGCAAACCTCAAAGTGGTGGGTGCTGGGACCTGCCCTGGCTGGGGAGCTGAGCTGGGACAGCACCTCACCACCAGGACCTTCTGTTTGCCACTTCCATCGTGCTAGAAAGGCCTTTTCTTTCCCTTTTTCTTAAACCTCCAGCAAACACGCTTTGCAAGAATCACCAAACCCAGCCATCGCCAGCTGCTCTGCTCCTGCTCAGGGAGCTGGTTTGAGGAATTTCCTCCTGCTTGGTTTCTCCCCATAAGGTGATACTTTAGGTTAATTAACGTGGCTTTCTCTGAAGTCATGAAAATAATTCATCTGACTTCACCAGAAAGAAACAGGAAGGATTTGAATAAGAAAAGGAGTGCGGTGAAGCAAAACAGGAAGGGGTGAGAGACAGCTCTGCCCCATCCACACCTCGCTCACAGGGCTGCACAAGCCACAGGGGTTTTGCTTTCTCCAACCTAACAGCAGCTTGTTGTGAAGCCTGTAGTGTTTGACACCTTGCAGGAGCAGCAGGAGATGCCTGTAGGGTGTGGGATCTTGGGCACAAGTTCCTAAAGGGGGATTGCAGTGGAGGAAGGGAAAAACCTTCCTTCTATTGGAAGGAAAGCAGGGATTGTGATGGGGAATTCGAGCCCTCTAGGACAGAAGGGAGGAAGTGAAAGCTGTGTTGGAGGGAAGGTAGGGGGTTTTCCTGGCTCTCTGTCCCCAGGCACCTCGCAGCCCGTCTGTCACGGGGTTTTGGTACTTGCAGGGCAACAGATGGACTTGTCAGATACTATGTTAAGAGAAACCATTTGATATACACCCAACAGCTCTGCAGCCCCCCCAGCACCTATACAAATACTGGTTTATTTGTTTCTCCTGTGAAACTTTGGGGTGGTGACAGTGTAAGGCCTGTGGGAGCCCTGGGAGAACCTGCTGGGCTCCTGTGCTGGCCAAGGTGTCCAAGTGCTCGGATGGCTGAGGCTGGTGGAGGGTGGGCTGGAGGCAGGAGCAGAGGAGGGGCCCTGAGGAGCTGGGGTTAATCTGGCAGTGGTTGCCTTCAGTGCCTGGTGCACAGGTCCCATGGAGCTTCTGCACGTGGGTGAGATGCTCAGGAGGAGCTGGGGAGGAGAAGTTTGCACAGAGGATGCAAATCCTGATCAGGCAGAGGAGAGTCCCCCCTCCCCAGATTGTGAGGCTTTGTGCAGATAACAATAGCTGGGCAGGGAGAGGAAGGGTTGGATAAAGTCAGGGACTGGAGGTGTCCTCACTGCCCAGAGGGTTGGGATGAGCAGGGGGTGTGAGCTGCCCCTTTATCCAGCTCTGTGGTGCTGATACCCAGTGGGAGAGCCCACCCCAGGGATGGGGGAATCCCAGGGACACTGTGCCAGGCAGCCTCAGCTCCTGCTGGGCAGACAGAGCCTGTCCCTGACTAGCCTGCTCCCCCTGAAGCCCTGTCACCCCCACCCCTGCTCTTCCCTCCCTCACAGGGAGCATGTGAACCTGACCTGCTTCTTCTGCTGAACATCTCCCAGTCCTTCCCTGGCTGTGCTGGTCCTTGCTGGGCTCTCTCTTGCCTCTCCATTTCCCTCTGTCCTCCACCCAACCATGCTGAAGCTCTTTCCTGCTGCCTAGAAACCCACAGATGCTCCATTTCTCTTCCTGGTTTGACCAACTCTGTCCTTTATCCCATGCCCATCTTTCCTGCCATCCTCCCCTCCTCTTCTCTGTTATCTTCTCCTGTTTTTCTGCCCTCATCCTTGTTTTCTCTCTTCCCCCCACACCGTTGCCCTGCCTGCAGCCCCTGTTCTGGCTGTACCCACTGAGCCCACCTGCTGAGCCACCTTCTCCTTCCCACCTCTTCTCTGACCCACTTCTCCATCCAGCCCTTCCTCTTCCACTGCTTGTCTGTCCTTTGGGGCCAGGCTGTTGGGGTGATTGGTGGTGGTGACTGAACACCCAGGAATGACGGGGTGGTGGTTGATGAACAGCAAGGGGTGGTGGGGTGGTGGTTAAGGAGCACCAAGGGGTGGTGGGGTGGTGGTTAAGGAGCACCAACACACCTTTCTCCCCACTGCTCTCTGTGTAGGTCACTGCTCCAGTGGCTCTGAAGGGCTCCAGCCTGGAGCTGTGTAAGAAAGCCTTTGCCCGCCAGCGTGCCAAGGACCTGACAGAGCAAGCCAGTGCCCTCCTGGCCAAAGACAAGCAGATTGAAGCTCTGCAGCAGGAATGCCGGGAGCTGCAGGCTAAACTCTCGGCAGGGAAGGTGAGACACTTGCCGGGACATCACTCAGGGGCTGGGACAAGCTGTGCAACAGGAGTGATGGAAACCAGGCTCCAGGAAGTGGTGTGAGGGCAATTAATCCCCAGTGCAGGCTGAAAACAGACAAGATTTGATGTGTGAGTTGAATGGGGACACTGGGGGAGTGTTGAATGGGGACACTGGGGGAGTGTTGAATGGGGACACTGGGGGAGTGTTGAATGGGGACACTGGGGGAGTGTGGCAGAGACAGTGTCTGGACCCCTCTAGCAGGCTGTTGGGGGCATCCCAGTTGTCCCTCTGTGAATTCATTTTCAGCAGCAACTAAAACCCTTCCCCTGGAAACCCCTGAAAAGCCACAGATACACAGATTTTTCACAGGGCTGAGCTTCAACCAAGATGTAGGAGCAGGGCCTCCTTTTAAAATGTTTCTTTAGAAAGCCAACCAGCACATTCCCAAGAACCAGCCTAGATCCCACATCTTGAGCTGCAGCTTTCTGAGCACTCACAGCCACCACGAGACTGGTGATAACTCAGTGGGTCCTGGGATGACTGTGACCGAGGCCACAAACCACCAGCCAGGGCTGGGTGTTCATGAAACCATCCCCAGTGCTGTGTCTGCACCTGGGCTGGTGATCTGCCTTCCCTTCAGCACCAGCACAGGCCAAGCAGATATAAACAGTGGGACAAAAGGGATAATTCAGCTCATCCTGAGACAGAACTTTAAAACTGGTCATGTGTGTTGCTCCTCCAAAGCACTTCTCTGTGACAGCTCTGAAAGCAGCCTCTGCAGGCAGTCGAAGCTGGGGGAGATGGTTCCCACTCAAGGTGATAAAGTTTTGGGCAGATCAGCTACATCTGTTGTTCACAAGCTGGACAGTTTCAGTTTAGGTCAGTTCAAACTCTCCTGAGCAGCTCAGGAATGCTTGGGGTCCTGCTGTTTTCCCCCTGTTTTGCTAACGCAAATGTGGCCAAGTGCCACCCTCCATCTCTGCCCCCAGCTGAGCTGAGTGAACCCTTGCATTTCTACCTGCCCTACTTACATGATATTTAGGTGACAAATACTTCCTTGCTGAAAGCAGCTTTATTTTTGTTCCTGAGCTCCCCATATGTTCATTTTAACTACAGGTTCGAAGGTGGATTCTCAGTCTTGCCCTAATGTGGATCTAGTGGGGATAAGAGCAACTGGGTGTATTTGGTGTTTGTACAGAGCTGCTCCATTGATCCTTCCTGGCATTAAACCACAGGATAACCTTATCCAGGTCTGACTGTGCCCTATGGTGTCAGCAAGAAGAAACTTCCTTCTCATCCCTTGAGTTCTCACTGCAGGCCCCTGCAGGAAGGGGAGCAGACCCTTTCCAAAGCCCTCTCATATTCCAAGCAGAGTGTGCTGGGCAACCTGACCCTGCCAGGGACAGGGGAGTGACAAATTATGGAGGAATGGGACAAAAGCAGGCGAGCAGGATTCAGTATTGGCCAGGGAAATACATGTGGGTGCCACCCTCGGGGGTGACAAATTCAGCCACTAGGGCATGGGTGACCTGGTGACCACCCTGTCCCCAAAGGAGAGACAATCCCTGTCACTGCCACGGCACCAGGGACACCGATGTACGAGCAGGGAATCCAAAGAAAAGAGAGCAAGAGAGGAGATCATTCTTTCTGATCTTGTTTTCCCCATTTTTCTCCCAAGCAAGCTCATTAAATTTTAATTTCCAGCTAGTTAAAATTCCAAATTCCCCTAATCTGTCTGCAGCATGCAAAATGCATTAGGCCAATGAAGGGGGTTTTATGCAGAGATATGATGGGCATACTCAGAGTTTGTAACCAAATCAGTTTTAATCTCGGGTATTTAAATCAGCACTAATTTTTCAGTAGCTGTGAAATGGATCCACTCAGTTCCCTGCAGTGGCAGGACAAACACTGGCCTTGTTTTGGCAAAGCCAGGGCTCTTAGGATGGGATAAAACGATTTCCTGAGATCACACTCCGGTGAGTGGCTTCCAACCAAACCCCAGCTCCGGGTAAATCCAGGCTGCAATTTCTTGCAGGATGGATTCTTGGAAGCATGGGATGGGGGGGAGCAGTGAGGCAGCTGCAGGGGATGGGTATAATAGAAACTGAGGGGAGGGCTGAGCTCTTTTCCTCCTCCCTTGTTCCCCCAGGCTCCGGAGGCTCAGTTGGGAATAGCTGCCTATTTTTGGTGGGGGAAGGGAGATTTTATACACAGCCACAGCCAATTTTGCTTAAAGAACTACTACCCTGAGAGCCTGAACAGGGGGCTGGCACAGAGGAGGCCCAGCTGCTCACTTCTTGAATCTATAATCAGTTCCCTTTAATGGTGCCTCAGTTTCCCCCCTTGCACTATGAGAGTAACCACGGTTTTCTCCTCAAATTGTATTTTTAAAGCGTATGCTATTTTTAGGGGGAATAAGAAGTGAACAGGGAAAAAGATTAAATTTGTCCTGGATACCAATTCTGCTTTGAATTCACCGGCTTAGGAGCTTTCCAGGGGAATGAGCAATGTCTCCTCCAGCAGCAGATTTGTAAAGACAGGTTTTCATAACCCGCTGTTGTACATGTGGACATGCAGGTACGTGTTTCTTCAGCCTCCAGAAACCTGAAAACCTTTGAAGAACGAAACAAGCTGGTGACATATTCTCACTAGTTTTGTGAGAATCAGATTGGGCTGGCTTCCTTCAAAAGCTGCTGGGTTTGGGTCGGGATGGGAGTGACCCCTTGTGCTAAAGATAGGGGCCTATCACTGTCTCTGACAAGGAGAGAAATCAAATAGTTTGAAAACCAAACATTATCCCGAGGGAGAACTGACCAAGTCCCAGATGTTCTTCGTTCTTGCAGCCACTCAAAGCCCTCACCACCGCTGGGGCTGCAGCACTTGCCAGCACCCACCCACGTCAAGGAGGGGAAGCAGCTCTGCTTTGGCTGGGACACGACGTGACACTATCCTGCCACGCTCCCTGCTGGCATGTGCTGAGATGGCACACGCTTGGCAAAGCCCTTCGTGCCGGGAGAGCTGCAGGAGCATTACAGGACCATTACAGGCTGGGGTTTATCTTCAGGAGGAAAAATGTATTTGCATAAAGGACACAAAGTGAGCTTTGAGGCTTTGGAGACCCAGGAATCAGCAATCTGCGTGTGCCACAGTAGCTGGGTTCCACCAGCCTCTCCTCTTTTGGAGTGTGTGTGTTAAATGTGACCTGTCCCAGCTTTTGGAGCCTGTCAGTGACACGACACCGGGTTTGTTTTCCTGCAGGACGACCCTCGCTGCCTCAACGTCATCGAGTTCGACCGCCTGCTGCGGGAGTCCCAGCGAGAGGTGTTGAGGCTGCAGAGGCAGATTGCCCTCAAGAATTTCAAGGAGTGCCTGCGTCCCCCCAAAATGAGCCCAGGCAGTGCCAGGCCGAGCACTGCCCCACGCCTGGGACCGAACACCGGCAGCAAAGGTTCACCTCTGCCAAAGGAGGCCTCCTTGGGAGACCCGGCGCTGGGAGGGAGAGCTCGCAGGGAGGTGAGACAAGTGGGTCAGACATCGGAAAGTTTTGATGTTTAATTGCTCAATTAATTGCTGTTCTTAGGGAGTTTCACTTGGAGGAGGCAAGGCGAGGGTTGTGGTTTGCGTCCGCTGCACATCAGTGCCGTGCTGGTTTCCAAAGGGACTCATAGGGTGAGGAGGGACATAGGTGCTCCTGGCAGCACATGGTGGGGACACTGAACCACGCCAGGGGCTCAGTCCTGCTCCTTTTCGGGGCTCCCGTGCTGCGTTTTCCAGCCTAGGAAACCGAGCAATGCTTCTCCTTCATAGAATCATGGAATGGTTTGGGTCAGAAGGGACCTTAAAGCTCATCTCATTCCACCCCTGCCATGGGCAGGGACACCTTCCACTAGACCAGGTGGTGGAAGACTGCATCCAACCTGGCCTTGGACACTTCCAGGGATGGGGCAGCCACAGCTTCTCTGCCCAACCTGTGCCAGGGCCTCACCACCCTCACAGCGAAGGATTCCTTCCCACTGTCCCATCTAACCCTGCCCTCTGGCAGTGGGAAGCCATTCCCCCTTGTCCTATCACTGTCCGCCCATTTCCCCTCCCAATGTTTGTTCCCGCCTTTTGTGTATTCCTGTTGCTCCAGGAGGTCCCTACCTGAGTCCTAACCCTGCCCTCTGGCAGTGGGAAGCCATTCCCCCTTGTCCTGTCCCTCCATCCCTTGTCCCCAGTCCCTCTCCAGCTCTCCTGGAGCCCCTTTAGGCCTTGCAAGGGGCTCTAAGGTGTCCCTGGAGCCTTCTCTTCTCCAGGCGAACCCCCCCAGCTCTCCCAGCCTGGCTCCAGAGCAGAGGGGCTCCAGCCCTTGGAGCATCTCCGTGGCCTCCTCTGGACTCGCTCCAGCTCGCCCCAGAGCTGGAGGCAGCTCCAGGGGGGGTCTCACCGGAGCGGTGACACAGAAGGGCAGAACCCCCGTGTTGTGCTGCCGCCGGGGCTCAGCCCAGGCCCGCAGGTCCCGCTGCCCGGCCCTGCCCGGCCCTGCCCGGCCCCGCGCGGCCCCTCCGCCCGCAGTGGTTCAGCCCCGCAGATCCGGGGCCGCCTCAGGGCGCCGCCTCCGCCGCGGCCGCGCAGCCGCCAGGTAAGGCCGGGCCGGGGCCGGGCCGGGCCAAGGGGTGGGTGTGTGGGGCCGGGGGTGTGTGTGTGGGGCCGGGGGTGTGTGTGTGGGGCCGGGGCTGCCCCGCGGGGGCTCCGCCGGGGCCGGGCCGGGCCGGGCCGGGGCCCCTCCGGGGAGCGGCGGTGCCGCCTCGGGGCCGAGCCGCCCCCGGGCAGGGCCCGCCGGGGCCTCTGCGGGGCCGGGCCGCGGGTCCCGCTGTGCCCCCGCAGCCCCCGGGCGGCTCCTCGGGGTTTTGCTCCCGCGGGTTCCCCTGGTTCCCCCCCTGTGTCCCCCGTGGGTTCGGGATACGCGTGTTCCCCCCAGGCTGCACCAGCTGCTCCCGTTTGTTGCCCCCCCGGGCCCTCGCGGCAGATGTGTTGAGTATATTCATTCCTCGCTCGTCCATTCCGAGTCACCCGTGGATTTATAACCCCCTTCTCCTTCAGCCATTTTTTTGTTTGTTTGTTTCTTTCCAGCCTCTCCCATTATTCAGTGCTAGCATCTTTGTCTCCTTTCCTTTGTGCGTTTTCCCTGCCGGTTTTGTGCTGGGGAAGACAACGTGCGGCGCTGTCCCGGGCTCTGGCGTTGATTTATACGGTGGCATAATGAAGTTTTCTCTCCCTTCCCCAATAGATCTCTTTGCCTTTTTGTCTGAGCACTGGGGCTCTATTAAACCATCACTTGTCTCTCTAATCTCTCAGTGTCACGAGGCCCTCGTCGCTGTTTGTCTCTGCTGCATCGGTGCTTGGAGAGCACAGTTCCTGCTCCCTCCTTTTATAGTCCTTTCATACTTATTAGATATTTACCCGAGGAAAAAACCTTCCCCCCTCACCCTGTGGTGTCTCAGTGCCTGCCAAAACCTGTTAAAGCACCGCGGCTGAAGGTGTGAAGGTGTTCTGAGCACCCAAGCAGGTTCCTGCTGGATCTCCCACACCCCTTTGCTGGTTTTTTTTGTCAGAAGAACTCTGTATAGATTTGTGAATGTGTCCTTGCCCCCAGTATAAGTTAGTTTGAGTTACTTTAAGCACCTGCCTTATCTTAGTTGCGATTTCTATCCGTTTGCCCAGAACAGGTGTCAAATGTAGTGGTCTATCTTTCCACATTTGCCCACTGGAATATGCTTAAAATTCTGTAATACTCTTAAAACTTGGCATTTGCCACCTTCCAGTTAATTTGTATTAAGGCAGTGTTGGAGAAGTGACACTCTGCACGTATTGATTCAGTTCCTGCTGAAGCGAGAGATTCAGTTCATGCCAGAGGGGGTTTTTTGAACTCTTGGGTGTTATTAATCTAATCTTGGTTAATTATCTGATCTTGGTGATTTGTTACTGTGTATTTTGTTGGCTTCTACAGTTGTTCTTGCAGGCAGTTCAGTTTGAGAGAGATCCTTAGCTCTGTCCCTAAAATCTGTTTAGCAAAAATAACTTTAAATTGAATGTTTAAAGCATTATCAAAGCCCTCTTTCTTCTGTGTGTCTCCGGCCTTGCTCTGCTGTCAGGGATTACTCTGGGCAGACAATGTCCAGTCAAATACCAGTTGAGAGGGAAAATTCAGAGGATTAAAGGTTTGCTTGTCTGTAGCCCAAATGAAAAGGCATTTTGTTAGAAACTTGTGTACAGTTGTGTACAGAAAATTGTTTCCTTTCATTTGGTTTGGTGATGGCACATAATCCACGCAACTGCTGCCCTTTCAGTCCTTCTCAGCTGCCAGCTGAGGTGGGACACTGTTTCTTGGTAGTGTTTGCTCTTCCCTGCCTTTAGATTCTGACATCTTCTCTGATTCCTGCCCTTTGAGGGCTGTGCTCCCCCATCTGACCATCTTTGTATTGCTTTGGGAGGGTCACGAAAGGTGTGGCTGCTGCCTCTCATCAGGCACAAATGGGAACTGGGATCTGAGAGCTTCCTGGAGGCCACTGTTGCATGGGGGTGGTTCAGTCAAGCTGGACTGGTTGGCACTGGGCTCCAGGAGACTCCCAGCACAGGTTTCTGGTGGCACAGAGATCCCTGGCACAGTGTCCAGCTTTCCCCATGCCCAGTGGTGCAGCTCAGAGATCAGGAGTCTCATGGGGAGTGTTGCTCTCCCAGGTGGCACTGCCAGGAGTGTGCCCTGCAATCCTGCCTGTCCCTGAGCTCTCTGGCATCTCTTCTGCTTTCCAGGTGGAACCAGGTGTGCAACCACTGGGACCTGCCTCTGAAGGACATGAAAATTTCCCTCCCAAAAATGCAATAACAGGCCAAGAGACCAGAAAACAGATCCAGCACCTGGTGAGTTGTGAACTTGGTTTGGGGGAAGGAATGCTACAGTTTTTTATTTTTCTTGGGTTTTCCACCCAGATAGAGATTTTAGGGACTGAAGTCTTTTTAGGTGCAGCTGCTCTGGCAAAAGTGGGAAGCTTGGGGGATCAGTGGGAAAACACAGGCCATCTGCATGGAGAGTGTTGCTGGGTGGCAGCTCCAGGTGCTGGGCTGGCAGGGGAATATGTCACACTAAAATGAGAGGAAAACATGCCAGTAGGTTCTGTGCTGTGTTTGGTTTAGTCTTACTTGAGCTGGGGACAGATGTGGATGAGGAATATGTCCCTTGGGAATTTTTCCAGCAAATTATGACAGTTCACAGGGAGGTTTAGCAGCTCTTGTCTATCTGAGGAGCCAAGAGGTAGCTGCAGGTAAAGGTACATAAGCAGAGGATGTCTGTGCTCTGTTAGGTGTCATTTGGGTGAGAATAGGGGCTGAAATAGCACAGCTGATGTTTAAAGCTGAGAATTTTGCACAGCTCTGTCTTTTTGTCCCCCGCATCCTGTCTCCATACTGCTCTCTCCAAATAGGAACAATCTGTGCAAGTGGGAAACAGGACTGTTTCCAGAAGATTAAAGGCTTGAGGAAGAGAGAAATAGTTGTTTCACTTAAAAAGTTTTTTAGTTTTCCTACACTTAAAAAAAAAAAAAAAATCTCCCTTGGTTTCTACATTGTTCAAGTTTGTCACAAAGAGATTTTTATGAGAAAATCAGATAATGCGGCACTGGGTCTGAGAGGCTGGCCTTGAATTTCCTATGCATTGTAAGAGTGTGCACTTGCTGATCTACTTCTGCTTGTTTCCTGCAGGAATTTGAACTCAAGAAAAAGCGCAAAAAATGTGAAAACCTTGAGCATGAAGTGAGGAAAAAGCATAAAAGATGCAAAGAACTAGTAAGTGTTCTTGTTGCCTGCTGTTGTGAGCGTGATGGGAGAAGAGGAGCTGGGTTGTTGTGTGTCTCTCTTGGATTCTCCAGCTCATCTTAGTAATGAATCACCATCTTTCTGGTTATTTGTCAGTGTCACAAATTTTGGGCCTGTTTATTTAGTCTTTCAGTTACCTGTGGGTTGAGTGCAGCCACATAAATCACTGGATGAAGTTCCATGGCCTTTGATAGTTTGGGGAGATAATTAGCATTTTCACAGGCACTCCAGCACTCCAGACAAATACTGAAAGATTTCTGCACCTCAAGATGGTCATTGCACAAACCCACAGTCCTTTTCCTGTGTTTCATATTTGTTGGCAGAAATCTTGCCTCTGTTTAATTCCAGGGAGGTTTTCCTGGTCTTAGCAAAGCACCCGGATTTCTCCCTTCTGTTGTTGCTCTGCTGAGCAGCTCTGGTGGCATTAGGGGCTGACAGTGTATGGCTTCCCCCAGGGGTGCTGACCTTCTGAATAGATGTTTGATGTCTGTGGGTTGTTTAAGGAATGAGTTTGTCTTGGCATGTTGGTAGACAGTCACTTTTGAGGGTCAAGAAGGGACCGACTCACCTTGAAGTACCAGGACTCAGCCTGTGTGCACAGGGAATTGGCTCCTGGAACAGCCAGAAAATATTTGATGATATGTAAAACCTTGGAATGGGGAAGTGTGTGTGTGTGTCATGTGATTAGGCAACAATTAAAGTCCTTTAGTGCTGTACAAAGTTGTTGCAGATGGACTGACCTGACAAATCCAGTGTCCCTCCGTGTGCCCACGGCCTGTGCTCAGGGGCAGCATTCCCTAATTCAGGGATAGCAGGCTCATGCTCTTAGCTCCAGACTGAATCCTGCTTTCAGAGTCAGCCATTTGAAACTCTGGACTTTGCAGTCTAGTGCTCTCTTTAGCATCATTTTCCCAGATAATTTTCCTTCCTTAACTGATATTTGTCAAGAAGACTCTGATCTCGAACCAGCAGTGAAACTCGAATTGCTGTGGGTGGAGATGGAGTTCTAGGCAGCAGCTTGTAAACAATGTGACCCTGGAGCTGGGAGCTAGACAAGGAAATCTCTTTCTGATTCTGGGCTTTGAGGTTAAGAGAAGAAGAGAAGAAACTTGAGAGATCATAGAGTGGTTTGGGTTGGAAGGGACTTTAAAGGTCATCCAGTTCCCACTCCCATCATCTGGCACAGGGGGCTGTTAGAGCAGTGCCTCCCCCTCCCACCAACATCCTGCACCAGGAAACAGGAGCAGTGGAGCTGCTCTGCAGAATAATTTGGGGGAGTTTGAGGGCCTTGGTGTAGTAATTCCCACTCTTTCTGGACAGGAGATCCAGCTGCAGGAGGTGCAGAGTGAAAATGCACGACTGGCCGAGGAGAACTTGCAGCTGAACGAGAGGGCTGGATGGGCAGGACAGGTAAAAGCAGCATCTTGGTCAGGTGGAGCATTGGCTCCTGCAAAATTTTGCTGGGAAGAACTTGCTGGTGTGCCAAGTTTTCAAGTTGCCAGCTGAGAAATGGTTTTGTGCTGATCTGGGTTTCTGTTCCCAGCTCCTTCTCTGGACAAGTATAATGCACAGGACTTGGAAAGTCACTTGTCACTCCCCTGTGTCAATTTGCCACCATGCATAAGGCTGATAATTATATTTAATATTAAATAACTGTTTAATAACTGTTGTAAGTAGAAATGTTTGCCTTTGTAATCTGCATTGGTAATAGTCATCAGGCCATAGTGCCCCCTGGAACTAAAATATGTGGCTGGAATTCCCTGTAGTAAGTGAAGAAGGTAAAGATGATCTCAGCAGGCTGCTGAATTTTCTGTCCTGTTCTTTGTGTTTAATTCTACCATGTAGGATGAAAAATGCTTTTAAACCTTTGTGCTTTCTTTTATCTCTTCATTATGTAGCCTGTTCCTCTCCCAGTTCCTTCCTCCTTGTAAATGGGGAGGGGAGATGATTCTAGTGAGAGAAACAGTGTGTGCAAATAAAGTGTTACACACTGAGGCCTGATAAATGCTTATTTATGAATAATAATCAATTAATTAATTAATTAATAAAAACCAGAGGGAGAGGAGGTTCATCATTTTGGTATCATTGCCAGTAGAAAGCAGGTCTGCAAATCAACCTATTGGGACACAGAAACAAATTGTCCTCAATCAAATCAAATCAAAAAATACAAGGAACGCCTCTGGCTGCTTGTGCTAAAACTGCAAATCCTTCTCTCCAGGTTGAATCTGAGAATGCTGACCTGAAACTGCAGGTTGTTTTGGTGACCAAGGAACGGGATTCAGTGATTCAGACGAACCAAGGACTCCAAACCAAGCTGGAGAATCTAGAGCAGGTGCTGAAGGTCAGTGGGATCCACACAGGGGACTGTCCAGACAGCGCTGCTTTTGGATGGCCCATGTTGTCTCTTTGCCTTTTTTCACCATTCCCTTGTCTCTGTGCTTCTGTTGGGAATTGTGCTTCTGCAGGATCCTAGAATGTGGCTTTCCAAAGTGGGAAGAGGTTTGGAAAGGCTGCTTCAGGGATTTGGGTGGGATGGGAAATAAGGTGGCCATCGCTTTGATGATTGTCTCTGTGTTGCTGTGGCGAGTGGTGAGAGTTCTGTACTTCCTCCTGTGCAATGATGACTTCCTCCTGTGCAATGATGACATGAAGTCCAGGCCACGGTTGGCTCCTGGCTGCTGGTGGGACACAGGATTTCAGCAGTGTCCCTGTCTGTGCCTTGTTCTGCAGCACATGAGAAATGTGGCCGAGCGCAGGCAGCAGCTGGAAGTGGAGCACAGGGAAGCCCTGCTAGTCCTGCAGGAGAAGCAGGAGGAGGTCCGGCGGCTGCAGCAGGTGTGTGGGGAGTGGGGGGTGGACATTTTACCCTCTGAATCCCTGGAAAACAATGGATATGTTTCCTTGGATAAGCAGTGCACGGAGGAGGTGCGTGTGAGTTTACAGGATAAAGGAAACCAGGGCAGTGTCTGAGTGCTCTGGTACCTGAGCACAGTGAAGGGCTTTGCTCAGGGACGTCAGTTCTGACCTCTCCCTGCTGTTTGTCCAAAGCCCAGAGGTGCTTTCAGACTTTAAATCATAGAATCGTGGAATCATTAAGGTTGGAGAAGCCCCCTAAGGTCATCAACTCCAACCATTCCCCCAGCACTGCCAAGGCCACCACTAACCCATGTCCCCAAGTGCCACATCCACATGTCTGTTAAATCTCTCCAGGGGTGGGGACTCCACCACTGCCCTGGGCAGCTGTGCCAGGGCCTGACGAACCTTTCAGTGAAGAAATTTTCCCAATATCCAACCTGACCCTCCCCTGGCACAGCTGGAGGCCGTTCCCTCTCCTCCTGTCCCTTGTTCCCTGGGAGCAGAGCCCGACCCCCCCCCCCGGCTCCCCGCTCCTGTCAGGGGGTTGCAGAGCCAGAAGGTCCCCCCTGAGCCTCCTTTTCTCCAGGCTGAGCCCCCCCAGCTCCCTCAGCTGCTCCTCATCAGACCTGTCCTCCAACCTATGAAGGGCTGTGAGGTGGGATGACAGAAGTGAGCTCAGGTGGGTTCCTTTCTTATTTTCTCCCTTTCTTATTTCTCCTTAGGCACAGGCAGAGGCAAGAAGGGAACATGAAGGAGCAGTACAGCTTCTAGAGGTAAGGCAGAAGGAAACAAGAGGGACTAGTGGCTGCAAATTTTGGTACCTTTTGTTCTTATTACCAGTTTTCTTGATGCCTTTGATGGGTTTTGTTGGTTCTTGAGCAAAATGCTGTAATGTCTTGATCAGATGCAACGTGTCACTGCTGAGAACAAGTATCAGTGGTGCTGGCAGAGTAATATCTGGGGTCAGAGTTTTGAGGGATTAAATCCTGGCCTGCTCAGTCCTCACACAGATTTCTTCATTCAGATTTTGCTCAAAAACTCTTTCAGGGATGCATCAAATAATTAACCTCAGATCTGCCTCCTCCATTCTCCAGGATCATGTAAAGAGAGGAAGAATATTTGTGTCCCTGGGACTTGAAATTTCTCGTGTGTGTGTGTGTGTGTGTGTGTGTGTTTGCACTTTATGCTTTTTATTAGGGAAAAACAGGAGAAATGTGGCCTTTGCCTGAGTGAGGAAGCTTGAGGCAACTCCCTTGTCCTGTTTACTCTGACATCCACATGGAACACACTCTGCTGACAGTGTAACAGTGCAGCCTGGCAGATGTGCTGGGCACTGCTTTGGGTTTGCTTGGCATTAGCTTGGTGTCAGTCAGGCTGACTTTGGAGAAAAACTAGGCTGTGGGTTCCTGGAGCTGCAAAGCCAAGGCACTGAATGCTGGAACTTGATGTGGAGATTTAGTGACTGCCAGAGGGTTGGGTGTGATGGGAAATGGAGCATCCTGTGCTCTCTCAGAGGTTTTCTGAGCACTAAAACACTCAAGAGGAGCAGAAGGCCTCACTGTCCACCCAGACAGTGGCATCTGCTGCAGTGGTGACTTACAGTCAGAGGGGACAGGCTGAACTCCCTGTGCAGCTCTGGGGCTGTTGGGAGCCCAGGGTTGTTGATTGGGATGGGGATTGTCCTTGATGGAGGAGATTGCTCCATGGCTGCAAATAGCATCAACTTTGGAGGGAGCCTGGCCTGTGTCTGAGCTGTAGAACCCAAGAGTGCTGGGCTCCTGCTAAATGGGATTGAAATAGTTGCAGGCTGGGTGAGTATCATGGGGCTGTGACATTATGTGTTATCCCCTTGAAAGTTCATCCAGTCCCACCCACCTTCCACTAGACCAGGTTACTCTAAGCCCCGTCCAACCTGGCCTTGAATTTTCTGAAGCAGACCAAAGAAAGAGAAATTGTCATTAAAAGCTGGTTTAATGTGCAGCAACATTCATTTAAAGTACTTAACTTCAATGGTTGTCATCCCAGAATGTCCATATAGGGCAGAATTAGGGGGTGTGGAGTGCCTGTGCTGTGTGGTTTCCTTTTCCCATGTGTTTGGATTGCTTTTGGATGGGATGTTAATGAAGGATGAGTGCAGTCTGTTGAAATTTAGCAGAGTCATTGAACTCAAAGCACACGATGATTTGGAGACCCTCAAAAAGGGCCTGATTCTCTTATTTGTGCATTTGGTACGTGGGATTTGGCTTTTGTTTGGTAAGAATGAGGTGGGAATGTCAGTATGGAACAAGGCAGACACTGGATGTTGTGAGAAAACAATCCTATTGAGACTGAGGGCTGGGTTGTGTTTGGAGAGTGTTGGTTTTGGGGTAGTGTAACTGCTGATGTGGTTTGACATCTCTTTTTGCTTTTCTTCTTGCTCCCAGAGTACCTTGGATTGCATGCAGGTACTGCTATAATCCTGTCAAATGGGACATTTTTCCCTCTGTCCTGACTTTGACAGTTGCTTGATAATTCTTGTTTTAGCTATACTCTGGAAAAGATTGCAAGAGTGTCACTGCCAAGAAATAAATGTGATTAAAGGAGCTCCCACCATGAGTTTGATGGAGCAGCTGCTTTTCTCTTTAAATGCTTTGCTTCCTTGACCAATTAGAACTAGGAGCTTAATTTTTTTGGCACTTGCAGATTTTTAGAATTGCCCAGCTGTGCTCCTTCTCCACGTGTCACGTGCATTTAAATGTCTTTTGGGAACTACTTGCAGTCCAAGAGTGAAGTGTTTCCTTCAGAACCCAAAAGCAGTGGTGACACCATTGCAAGTGAGTGCTGTGGAGAAGAGGACAGGCCCTGCTGGCTTTGTAATTGGATGGAAGATGGGAAGCAGGGATTGTGGATGATAGTTTTCCCAGAAGAGGTAGGAACTAACGAAATTCCAGTGTGTGGGAGCTGTGCTAGCTGGTGGTTTGGAAAGAAGGCTTCTGTGGAAGTGGTGGGGTTTGTAGCTGGTGGAAAACTGCTTGAACACCTTCAGATCTGACAGAGATCTTGTGAGTAACAGGGACATTAAATCCCAGGTAACACTGCCTGTGCAAAGGCACGTGGGAGGAGAGGCAGCCATGACTAGACATGCCCAGTGGTGGGCTTGGAATTCCCTGTTGGAGCAGGAGGTGCAGGGTTGGAGGTAGGGGGACTTTAAAATAAAAAATCAGCCACAGTTCTGGTCAAAAAAGCAAGTGAAGTGTTGGGAGCTTTTGGAGAAGGGCATTACTGGGGTGTGCCCACGTCCTGTAGAAGCTGCACCCACATTGTTGTGGAATTATGGCTGTTCCTCTAATCCCTTTGGCATCAGCCCTGCCTGGAGCAGGAGTTTGGGCTGCACAGCTCTAGAGTTCCTCTTGAGCAAAGTGGAGATGCTCTCATCTCAATACAGAGCAGAAGACACGGAGAAAGGTAACGAGGGACATGTGGAGGGAAAACATCATCTGGAGAAGTGGAGTAGAGCAGCCAAGAAGGAGAGAGTCTCAGAGGGAGGGGCTGAGCTGGTGGTGGTTGGCTGTGGGAAATCTCAGTTCCTGAATCAGTGGCTAAACTGAGCCCACCAAGCTCTGCTCCTGCTCTTGCAGCCTCTTCTGGAAATCCCACTGCCCAGGCCCAGTTGTGTGAGGCTCCTCTTTCTCCCCATTTTGGGTTGGGCATGGACACAGCAGTCTCCTGTCTTTTCTGTGTCTGGGGCTTGATTCCTGCTGGTTCCCTGAAGCTCCTGGCCTTATTTCCCTCTTCCTTATCCCCATTTCTCCCAACACTGCCCTGGAAACCTGCTCTTCCCAGCTGTGATTCCCTGCAAGTAGCCTGCTAGAAGTATACACTGTGTATGATGTGGCAGTAGGACTTAAGGGATGTTTGTATGTTATTTTGAATAACAGATTTCACAGACACCTGACTAATTAGGGATCTTGGAATTAAACTGTGAATTATCTGGGCTATTGGCTTGGCCACCACTGTAAATGGATTTAAAGCGTGATTAATAAATTTACAGGACAAGGTACTGTTGTGATGCTGTTAAACACAATGTCCAGATGCATCTGCTGGCTCATGGCTCCTGAGAAGGCAGGAAATCCCTTTCTGGTCCTGCAGTGGAAATCCCTCTCTGTGTTCTTGTGGGCTGTGTCCCAAGGTGGGATCAGGGATGGATGTTGGACTTGAGGAAGCCCTACTTTGATCCAGTGCAACTGTTCTTCCTGTTGATGGTCTCTTTTCTTTATTAAGATGTGTAGGAGAGAAGCATTTATGTGAAAAATCTAAACTGTAAGTAAAATGCAAACCCTCAGGATTGCAGAGGAATCCTGTGCAATGGGATTTAATAAACAAGGAGTTGACTCTGAGCAAGTGGAGAACATGGACACTTCAGGAAGTTACTTGTGGCATCTGATTTCAGTTCAGAGACTTCCCTTAAAGCCTGAGAGCACCCAGGGAGTCGTGAAGGGAAACAGAGATAAACTGGAATTAAAAAAAAAAAACCTGGGAAATAAAACTTCAGGCACCCCCATGAATAGGAAGCGGCTCCAAAGGTTTTGTGTTGCTCTGAGACCACAGAGAAAGCTTTTTCCAGGTCAGGTGTGTTATTTTTAGAGCTGCCTAAAAACCAGGCTTTCTGCCTCACATAATATTTCAAGGCAGGATTTATTTTTTGAGTTGGAAGGAGAGAAAAGCACTTCAAACGCGTTTCGTGGAACGGAAAATTTTGAGGAGCGCAGTGCAGTCGTCTGTTATGGAGCATCTTACCTACAAAAAAAGAGTGAGAAGAGGGAAAGGAGCAGTTGCAATGTCCTGGGAATTCATGTGCCTACCACTGGGAGAATGTGGGGATGTGTAAGGACAACCAGGACTCAGCAGTGGTTTATAAGGGGAAGTTCTAGAGACGGTAGGAGGAGAATCTGAGAAAATACAAATGGTAGGAATGTGTCCTTCCCTCTCCAGAGATTTCCCCTGCTTCTCATCTTGTTGAGATGTAGCTTTCTGGGCCTCAGCATGAATTTTCCTGGAGCAATTCCTCCTTGTGGGACCTGGTGGGAAAGCGTGTGGGCTTCCACATCAAAGGAATGTTCTGCAACACAGGCCAGGGTGATCTCTGCCCTTCCTGCTGCCTGGAGGAGCCAAAATCTGCAGGGACAATCAGGAGTCCTGCCCAGAATGGTGGGGAGGGCAGGGTAAAGTTTTGGGAGCTTGCTGGAGCCTCTGCAAGTATGGATGAGATAGAACACTGGGAGAGCAATTCCTCTGGGTGATGTGACTTTAATCCTCCAAGAAATGCTCCAATCTTTTCTTTTCAAGGCTTATTTATCTGTGACTCACATCTGGTCTTGTGCAGGGCTGGGACAGGATATTGAAGTTCAAACCCAGCTTTTCAGGGATAATTCCTAGCAGAGCTTGCAGTCAGTCCCCTCATAGATGAGGAGCTTCAGGTTTTCAAAGGTACTAAAGCCGTGGAGCTGCCAGTTCCCAAATCCTGTTTCTGGGCAGGGCATTTAAAAGCATCCTTTGAAGTCTGGGACCCACTGGAAAGACACAGCAAAGGCTGTTTGGAGCCTCACTGGTGGGTTTGCTGTGGGTTTGTGCCTCATCCCACGTCTCTCCTGGCAGGCCCGGGTGAAGGATCTGGAAGATCAGTGTCGCAGTCAGACAGAGCAGTTCAGCCTCCTGTCCCAGGAGCTCCAACAATTCCGGCTCCAAACGGGAAAAATCGACCTTCTCACCTCCACTCTGGTGACTTCAGAGCTGCCCCTTGCTCTGTGCAGCTCCACCCCACAGCCCCCCTGGGAGAAGGGTGAGTGCTGGACATGCCTGGGAGCGTTTTCACAAATGAGTTGATGTTCCCAGAAATGGGAAGGGGTGAAGGAAATAACGCGAACGTTTAGTTAAATCTTGGGATCTCCGTCTCTCTCTGTTGTCAATACTTCCGGTTTGTTTTGTAGTCATAAAGAGAACCTGGCATTTCTCTGGCCAGAGTGTCCAGTCTCTTAAATGAGGCACATTTGTAGAGACTTGTGCTGCTCGTTGCTGATCCTGGATCCTGCCTGTGGCTCTGACTGATGGCTGATTTTATTGCAGAATCAACTGTTCCTGGGTTGCTCCCTCACCAGAGCACTAAGAAGGCTCACAATGAAGTTGCTGAGGAGTTGGAGTCATCCCTTAGGGTGCCTGACACCCCTGGGGGCTCCCCAGCTGCTCCCACCAGTGCTCAGAAACAAGCCAAGAAAGTGGAATCTCAGTCCAGCTCTTCGAAATCAGAGTCCATGCACAACAGCCCCAAATCCTGCCCAACTCCAGAGGTCAGTATGGGAGGCCCCTCTGTGGTCTGTGCTTTCCAGAAGGGAATAAATGCATTGCTGAGAGCACCAGTAAGGCTGCACAGGTTCCCCAGTAAGGCTGCATTCCTTCCTTCCTGGCTGCCTGAAGAAAATGGGAAAAAAACCAAGAGAAAAGCTGTAGGAAAGTAGTGAAAAGACCTTGGGTGCCATGGCTATAATGCTGATTTCAACGTGTTACTGAGCTCCTGGAAGGAAATAACTGGCTGGACAGTGTGAGAAGGACTGGGATGGGGAGGTTGATTGGTGGGAAGTGTGGGAAACTCTTGCTAAGCTTCCTTGTACCATCTCAGCTGCCACTAAAACACAAAAAGGCTACAAACTGGAGTTCTTGGCATACTGAGCAGCTGTGTCCAGACTACTTTTAGCCTTGAGCTGTGGATGAGGAGCTCAAACTTCTTTGCTGGTGAAAGAAACCATGAAAAGACACCAAGTTTGTGCTAAGAGGGCTGGAATTAATAGGCTTTGCTTGTTTGTGCCCCCAAGATCTCATGGGGGGTTGGTGCTTCTCCTCCCCAGGAGCTCTTGGGTGGTGGTGTGGGTTCACACAGAGTGTTTGGTGCTCTGTGTACATCACTTCAGGGGACAGCTCAGGGTAAAGCAGTGCTGGGATGGTCTGGGTGGCAGTTTTTGGTTTTTTGGTGTTTCCTGGGCACTGAAACCTTCTTGGTCTCACTGTAGCTGTGGAGGACACTGATGTGTTGAGCTGAGGGCAGGGCACTAATGAAGGGCTGCTGTGGGAGGCAGTGCCCACCACTGTGTAGGAGCTCTGGGAAGTGCCATGTTCAGAGACAAAGGGAGGAACAGGCCAGAACTGCTCTCAATTCTGTAGCAGGAAAAAATCCTACTTTTTAGCTCCAGAGAAAGCTTGGAAGCCCCCATGCCTCCCTGGAGAGATAAGTGCCTACAGAGTCAGTGTGGGATCCTTGGAAAAGCGTGTGGAGCGTTTGGCTTCAACAACACACAGTTATGGGAACACTCCAGGCTGCTAAAAGCTGCTCCATCTGGGTGTCTTTTGGCTGTTACAGGTGTGTTATCCCAGGACATGGGGCAGGATTGCTTTACAAGGAGTACACTGCCTTGAAAAGATGCTCTGGACTCCTTCAGAGATTAACTTTGGTACTTCACGTACTAGAAAAACTACTTTATATTCTGCTGCCTGCAATGGGTCTCCATCAAAAACACATTTGCCTCGAGGTCTGCTTTCAAAAGGCAGCTTGAGTTGGTTCATTGGCACCATTTCAAACAAACCCAGGCGAGTGCATTTGCTCCAGAAGGAGGGTTGGGTTACACAACTCATTGCCACTGGATGAAAAATTCCAAAATGTTACTGGGATCAAAAAGACTGAGGTAAATTTCCCAAAGGTGCTTCTGCCACCAAATGCCCTGAGGGTGCAGCTTCCAGCTTAGGAAATCCAGAAGTAGCTGAGGGCTGGGAAGGGAGAGGCTGTAGCAGGAAGATGAGTTTTGTGCCTGCTCTGTCTCTTGTGCTTTTTGTTCAGTGTGATGGCCCTACCAGTTCCACCCAAAGCTCTGTCTGATGTTGGTGAAAGTACATAAACATCATATTGAAAATTTACAGGTGCTGGAGGGGAGCAAAAGCACTTGGAGACCTCAACATCTAACAGAGCTCTGAGGTCTCCTCTGTCCAGGTTTGTGTTGCACACAGGGACAACTAATGTTTCAAGGTACAAGAAATGAATTATGGATGTGTAGAGTGGGAGAGGTCTCCAGAGTCTCTAGTCCAGAGTCCTGCTCCAGTGGGACTGTCACCAGCACTAGATCAGTGTGGCCACGGCTTTGCTGAGCTGAGGCTACAAGTTCTTCAAGGATGGAGATCCCACAGCTCAGTGGGAACTTTTCCCAAGTCTACGTCACCCACCTGGGCAAGGAGTTTTTCTTCACGTCTGGCTGGAACCCCTGAAGCTGCAGCTTGGAGCTGTTGCCTTTTATTACTACTTCTTCACCTAAAAAGTCATTCTTCCAGATGGTCCTTAGCCCAGGGGCCACCAAACATGAGCTTGGGGGACTTGTTCACTGATGTTTGACCCCTTTGAGTGTTCCTTTACTCAGATCCTTTCTCTTCAATGTTTTTAGGTGGACACTGCAAGTGAAATGGAAGAGCTGGATGTCGACAGCATCTCCCTCATGCCAGAGCCAGGCAGCCAAGGCCCTGCAAAGCTCCAGGTGTTCTTAGCTCGATACAGGTACTGAGAGCTCATTTCTTGTGGTCTGTGTGGTTACACAGGTTATCTCAGAGTTGCCTTCTTTACACTCTTCCCTTGAATTCACCAAGGAATGGATAATATTAGGTTGGACCACGTATCTTATTCCTCCATGGGTTTTGCAGGCTGGGAGAGCTGGGGGGGTTCACCTGGAGAAGAGAAGGCTCCAGGGAGAACTGAGAGCCCCTTCCAGGGCCTAAAGGAGCTCCAGGAGAGATGGAAAGGGACTGGGGACAAGGGATGGAGGGACAGGACAAGGGGGAATGGCTTCCCTCTGCCAGAAGGCAGGGATAGATGGGATATTGGGAAGGAATTCTCCCCTGTGAGGGTGGTGAGGCCCTGGCACAGGTTACCCAGAGAAGCTGTGGCTGCCCCATCCCTGGAAGTGTCCCAGGCCAGATTGGATGCAGTCTTGCACCACCTGGTCTAGTGGAAGGTGTCCCTGCCCATGGCAGAGGGGTGGAATGAGATGGTTTTTAAGGCCCCTTTCAACCCAAACCATTCCAGGATTGTATGATTTGTTGAGACCTGTTATTTCCTGCACAAGCAAGGCTTAGCTCAACAAAAGCACAGTAAGCTCAGTAGCTGTTCAGTGACCAGCCCTGTGTGAGACTTTTCCTTTCTTTCAATATGATACTGTATTGAAAATTCAGTTTGAATTGACATATTCCTTGAAATATCTTTTTTTTTTTTCAGAATAGTCCAATACATTTTCTCCCAAGAAATCTTATTCCAGCAATTAAGAAAATTTCAGCCTAGAATGCCTGAAGTTTTTGGCCAAAATCTTTCTGGCTGTAATTTTTAAAGGACGGGGGAAAAAACCACAGAATAAACTCAATTTTTTTCTGTTACTAACTGTTTCTGTACACTGAGCATCATGGTCAAACTCATTGCTATTTACAATTCAAAGAGTATTGACATATCCTTCAGCTTTTAAACTGGGGATTGGAAGGAAGAGACTTGGGATGATTCTGTGCTTGTGAGGAACACATCAAATCTGACCTGTGTCTTCTTGTCAGAGTCTTGAGTACATAAGGTCTCTGTGAGCTGAGGGAGACCTTAACATTGCTTTGGCATGTTGAAATCCCCTTTAAAGGCTAAAAAGCAGGAATTGGTAGGAGGTGTTTGTAAAGATGTTTTTCACGAGGTATTTTCCTGTGACATGAGGCCCTCTGATGATCTGAGGATCCCTGGATAGGCAGGTTAGAATTACCTGCAGACCAAATCATATCACCAGTGTATTTATAACTGTCATGCCAGTGAAGCTTTTGGATTGCTGTTTAAAATATGGAGTTGGAGCAGGAGAGGGAGGCACCACAACCTCTCTGTGCAGCCTGTTCCAGTGCTCGGTGACCCTCAGAGGAAAGAGGTTTTCCCTCAGGTTCAGGTGGAAGTTCCTGTGTTTCAGTTTGTGCCTGTTGCCCCTTGTCCTCTCTCTGGGGACCAGTGAAAAGAGCCTGGTCCCATCCTCTTGACACCCACCCTGAAGGTATCCCTTTCTTCTCCAGGATCTGAATCCCAGATCCCTCAGCCTTTCCTCAGGAGAGAGATGCTCCAGTCCCCTCATTGTCCTCATATCTCTGTTCCTTCAGATGTCACAAGACATCTGTTCTGCTCCTCAGAAAATTACCTATTATTAATTATTATTGTGTGTAGACTGTAGCTTTGACCTTTGCCTGTGGAATTTGCTGCTTGCACGAGTGGATGAATTCCCAGTGAATTGAAAGCTTGTCAACATCACAGCTCAAATGTGTTGCTGGGCAAGTTCCTATACAAATTAAGTCTTCCTGCTGTAAATATTTCAGCTACAATCCTTTTGATGGACCTAATGAAAATCCAGAGGCAGAGCTTCCACTGACTGCTGGAGAATATATTTACATCTATGGGGACATGGATGAAGATGGCTTCTTTGAAGGTGTGTTCTAACAGAATGAAATGTGGCTGAACTCCTGTGGAGAGTTGATCTCTCTCCAAAAAATGAGAGAATTTAGTGAATCTTGAAACCTCAAGATAAAGGTTTTCTGCCCAAAGTTAGTTTGTTAGAGGGAAGAGCAGATTCTGTTGGAAAGAGTCTATTTATGTCATGATTAAATTAAGTCTAAAACGTGAAATCCTGATCTGATTTCAGTGGGAATTTAGCCACTGCTTTCAGCACAGCTCCAGATTTCATCCCCATATGGTTCCTCCCTCTCCATGGAGAGGAACACGTTCAGCCCCAGGCAGATGGGCTGTTTCCCTCCTCCCAGGGGGGCTGTGTGTGAGCCAGAGCTGCAGCAGGTCATGGTCTCCGTTGGCTCCTGCTCTTGTGGCAGAGAGGGGATGAGACAATCCATCCAAACCACAGTTGTGATCCCCCTTGGTGTCACACAGCGGGTTTCTGGTTTGGCCCCTTTGCAAACGTGATCCTGGTTGATTAAGAGGCAGATGGATTTGAAACCAAGAATTGTTGGCTGTCAATTTGCACTGGGGTTTTTGTGGAGCCACTTGAGGACTGAAGGATCCTAATTTTCCTGAGGTGCTTTGCAAGAGCTGAGGCAAATGCATGGGTGTTGCACTGCTTGCTCTGTGACTGCTCTGCCTCCTTTTTTTCTTTCTTTCTTTCTTTCTATTCCCAAGCTTCTCATGTATTCATTTATTTGTCTTTTTATTTCTTGTTTAAAGAATAAAAAGGTTGTTCTTTACTAACCTGTTCTGCTTTCCCTGCTTTCAGTTGATTTGCTGTAGGTAGAGTTTGGAAGGGGGAAGGCAGTGCAGTCCCTACTCCTCTGTGGTTTGGGGGACCAGGTGCTGCGTGTCCCTTGTCCCCACAGGTGCTTTTGGGACACCTTTAGTCCAGGAGCTTAAGAAAGGAGGGAGCTAAAAGGAAGCCCAGTGCTGAATACAGAGCTGGAAAGATGGACTTTCTTGAGGAAGTACTACAGACCCTAAATCTCTGTGGCTGGGAGAAGACGTAAAGTCATCCATCTGCGTAGTTTGGGAAGGCTAGAAAAGTTAGTGAAGGAGCTGTGGTGAGGAACAATGGGATAATGAAGAAGGAGAAACCCTTTAGCTAATTACACAACTCAGCTTTTCACTTACTTGGCTCTGGAATGTGTGGAGCAGTGAGTCTTCTCAGTGTGGCACTTGGGATCTAACAGGGAAGCCCTCGGAAGTGCAGGAAACATTGCCAGGAATAACCTCCCGGAGGTTTTTTTCCTTCCTGAGTGCAGAGCAGTTGTGACCCAGCGTGGATGTTGTCCCATAGTCCTCACAGATGGGTTGGAAGGCTGAATGGCAGGGGCAGTGGTAACAGGTCTCCTGTTTTCTGTTTAGGGGAGCTGATGGATGGCCGGCGAGGGCTGGTCCCCTCCAATTTTGTTGAGCGGGTTTCAGATGATGACCTCGTGACGTTTCTGCCTCCGGAGCTGAACGATCTCACCCATAGCTCATACCAGGAGAAAAGCTTGGTCAGTGCAAGCACCAGCAGTGGAGATAAGAGTGATTTCTCCATTGAAGAGAGTAGCATCAGCCCGCTGGCCAGTAGAGCAGAAGGAGACCAGGAGGAGCCCGTTAGTCACACAGCAGTGCCTTACCCACGAAAACTGACTCTGATCAAGCAGCTTGCCAGAAGCATAGTTGTAGGCTGGGACCCACCTCTTTTGCCAGCTGGCTGCCCAGACATACAAAGCTACAACATCTATGTGGATGAAGAGCTACGTCAGAACGTGAAGAGTGGCCTTCAGACCAAAGCAGTGATTGAGAAGCTGGACTTGCAGAGCAAGGCCTACCGCGTGTCCGTGCAGGCGGTGACCGAGCGCGGCAGGTCCGACAGACTGCGCTGCACCTTCTTTGTGGGGCAGGATTTTGGGGTGGCACCCACCATGCTCAAAGTCAGGAGTGTCACTGCCACGTCAGCAGAGGTCACGTGGCTCCCTTGCAACAGCAACTACAGCCACGCCGTGTACCTCAACGGGGACCAGTGCGACGTGACCAAGCCCGGGGTCTACTGGTACACCTTCCACAACCTGCAGCCCAGCACCCAGTACGTGGCCAAGCTGGAGGCCAGGCCCATGAAAACACCCTGGGAAGAGGTGCCTGAGGGGCAGGAGCAGGACTCAGCTGTGATTCACTTCACTACCCCACTAGCAGGTATCCCATGCAGCGCCCGGAGCCGTGCGCTCGGCCGTTCCCTTGCTGGGAAGCCTTGGGATGAAGGGAAGCCAGGTTGATTAGGTCCCAAAGCCTGAGGTGCTGTACTGTTTTGTCTTAATGTTTTTCTTCTTTCTTTTTTTTTACAATTTTATTACCCCCTTTGCTTTGGTTTGCTCTGGGAAGACCCCCCCTGTGCATGCCTGCCGGGCAGGGCAGGGGAGAGCTGGTTTGCCATGACCTCGCTCGAAGGGTCTCTGCAGCTTGGCCTCAGCTACTTTTGCAAAGTTCTGTTTTCTGTGCATTAAAGCTTTCACAGAACAAGAGCACCTTGTTTCCTCTGGCTCTGCCTGTCATTTCCCAGGACTAGCCTGGCTGTTCTGGTTCAGTTCTCCTGTGGCAAAGCTGGTGTGGGAGTTTGCTCTTTGAGTCGAACCAAAGTTGAGCTTTATGCTGTAGCCAGGTAAGCAAGAGGAGCGTGTTTTTGGTCTTTCACAGGCACACCTGATGCTCCTTTGGATGTCCAGGTAGAAGCTGGTCCCTCTCCAGGTATCCTTGTTATCAGCTGGTTACCTGTCACCATTGATGCCGAGGGATCTTCCAACGGGGTCCGAGTCACCGGCTACGCCGTGTACGCCGATGGACAGAAGGTTGGTGCTGGGCAGGAGGGGCTGGGACTGGAGTAACAGGCAGTGTCACAGCCTCAAAGCATGGAAAGCTGGATCCAGAAGCGTGTCCTGAGGAGACAATCCCAGTCCTTGGCCTGGAAAGGAGTGGTATCAGGGAGGGACATTGTTTGGGGGGTGTGATACACACCAGAAAAGGCACCTCTCCAGCTTTTTGATGTGGTTTTGATGTAGCTAAGCTGGGAAAGCTCCTGTGGCAGGACCTTGGAGTAGCAGAACAGGACAATTAGTGTCAGTCTCCTCTGCTCACCTCAGGCACTGGCGTGATCCTTGGGGAAGGAAGGAGCTCAGTGAGTGGTCAGGCCATGGACAGAGCACTAGTTCAAGGACACAGCCCTCGGGCTTGTCTCCAGACTGTAAGGAGTGAGGTGTAGTTCTCCATCAAGAAGGGTGCATCAGAAGCAATGTGACCAGCAGGGACAGGGAGGGGATTTTCTCCACTCAGGTGAGACCCCACCTGCAGTGCTGCCTCCAGCTCTGGAGCACCAACATCAGAAGGAGCAAGTCCAGAAGAGGGGCAAATATAGTCATGTTTTATAGAATATCCAGTTTCTCATATGATTATGGTAACAATTTCCCTTTACTGTTCATTCTGCCCTCAGAAGGTGAGAATTCTGCACACCTGCTCTCCAGAGCTTTGGTGTCTGTCTTAACTTTGGATCAGGAGTTGTTCTTCTCAGAAGGGCTCAGCTGTGCACAAACAGTAATTCCTCACGGTTCTTTTGCTCCCAGGTGATAGAAGTTACTTCTCCAACAGCTGGGAGTGTCCTGGTGGACCTGTCCCAGCTCCAGATGTTCCAGGTGTGCCGGGAGGTTTCGGTGAGGACGATGTCTCAGTACGGGGAGTCGGTGGATTCAGTTCCAGCCCAGATTTCCTCGCTCTTGCTCCGAGCCTATCCCTGCACTTCACCTGCCTCCACCACTGTTACCTCCAGGCTGCCCAGGGGCGTTCCCAGGGGCTCCCTGCCTGCCCACAGCCCATCCACACCCCCCACTCCTGCGCTCCTGCTCCGACAGAACATTCCTGCTGAGAGCTCAGATGCCAAATTGACTGATGTCTCCTCCGGCCCCGCCGGCCTGGCGCGGACTCTGCCAGAGAAAGCCTCCTCAGCACCACACCTCTCCTCTCCCAGTGCTCCCTTGGTGCAGGATTTGGGCACTTCCCCACAGGGATTGGATGCTGCAGGAGACAAGAAATGCCTGTCTGTGCCTCCGCAGCAGGCTGGGAACACAGTGCTCCATGGGGAGGGCCCTGCCAGGGAACCAGGATTACAAGGCCTGGGAGAAGGCACAGAGGTGCAGGTAAGTGCTGCCATCTCCTGCCCAGTGCCACGTGTGCTGGCAAGGGGAATGGAACAAATGCCACTGAGCATCTTTCTGTGGCATTCTTGCCTTTGGGTCATCATCCAGTGGTTGGGAAACTCTCAGGGAGTTTTGGCTGATGTAGTGTACAGGTGAGGCTCACCTCTTGATCACATGTGCAAGCAGATCAGGAACAGAGTCAGGAAAGCAAGAATTTGCAGAGTTAGAGGGTGATAAGAGTGTTCCCTCCTTTGTAGAGCGAAGTGGGTGGTCCCAGGATGGAAATTGTCCTTCTCACTTGAGATGTGAGTGTTGCTGTCAACAAAGGCAAACAGCTGTCAGATGAGACTTGAGATCAGGCCCTGTCTGGCTTTTGTCTGAGCCCAGGGGATATTTAAAAGCTTGGCAATGCAGTGTTTGAATCTCCCTGGAGTCTGATCCTTCAGTATTTTCAAAGCAGATAAGGACAAGGTTGTGCTCCATTGCAAAATGCAGGGAGGCTCCCTTGGAGTGAGAGAAAGAGGGGGTTGATGAAGGCCCATCTGCCTTACCCTCCTTGTTCCTGGGGCTCCATTCCTCCATCTCCCAGAGGTTTTCTGAAACACCAAACTGAACTGGTTTAAAACCAGATGAAAAATCCCTGTAATCCAACTAGGATTAGGATACCTAATCAGGAGCTTGTTGTACTTTTCTGTGTATGTTCTTCTTCATTAATTCCCCTTTTCTTCACAGCCTTTTCAGTTCCAGGGTAGTGCCAAGCCAACCTACCAGGGAGGGTGTGGGACATTCCTCTGGCCTATGAGAGTGGGAAATGACTTTGTACAGTTTGGGCTCTTCTTGCTATTTTTAAACTAGTTATTGTCAGTACAGGTCTGGGGCTTTACCTGAGCCAGGTGTGGTGGCCAGAGCTGCAGCAGCAGAAGCACCATGTGTCCCTTGCTCCAGGGCTGGCCAGCCTTCCCAACTGCCAAAATATTCATATGTCAACAACACAGAGCACATCGGAGGGTCGCAGAGTTTGGGGTGATAAGGACCCCCTTTTGGTGCTTAAGTACCCTGAGATACCTCCCCTTGATTTCATTGGTTTTCGATTTGTTTCCCAGATGGAACAATCTGGATCCAAAGCTCCAGAGCTGGAAGGCCCCTCTGACAGCAGTGTGAAGCTCCATGTGGAGACCTGCTCCGTGGAGGAGTCCCCCAAAGGTCCCAGTGCTGACAGAGAGGAGGCAGAGGAGAAGCACCTGAGCCCAGAGCCTGTGTCCTCACCCAGCCAGGCTGAGGGGACACAGGACACCTTCCGAGACGGGAACGCGGGCGGGAGCAGCTGCAGGTTGTCTCCTGGCAAGGAGGTGATGAAAGAAATGTCCAGAGTGAAAAGAGAGGTTTGTTTAACCTTGGTTGAGTGCCTGTGTCCATGGAGAGATGTGGATTGTGTTTGACATCCCGAGTTTTCCATCCTTAGGCAGTGCTGCTCTTCTGCAGGCTGATGGTTGCGTATGTGTCAACATGTTGCTGCCTTAGGTGCTTCCCACTTTTTTTCCTGCCACTCTTGAGCTGTGTGTGTGCTAGAGACAGGAAAAACACTCCTTTATTGCTGGAATAGAGCCTGGGAGGACTGAGAAAATCTGTTTTGCTTTTCAATAGCAAGAAGAAAAACTGGCTGAAATGGGCCGCCGGCAGCTGACCCTGTTCTCTGAGCACAACCGGAGTTCTGAGCTGTCAGATATTTTGGAAGAGGAGGAAGAAGATGAACTGTCTTCAGAAGCTCTGGAAGACAAGAAATGGGACCAGAGTGAGCCATGTAACCAGGAGAATGGGGAAAAGGTAACTTGTCCAGGGCACTGCTCGTGGGGGGTGCCAGTGCAGCCATCCCATGCCATCAGCTCACAGGAGGAGGTGCTGGGCTGAGCCCAGTGCTCCCAACAGTGCTTTCCTAAGGTCCTGCCTGCTCTGCTTGTACTCCCAGGCTTAAGGTAGTAAAAACACGAGTTCTCTGGGAGAGGGAAGGGTGTTCATATGCAATGAATGTAGCTGGGGTTTAATTAGTTGGAAAAACACACAGTGTGATGTGAACTTTAGAGCCCAGGGTTAAAATCGATCCTATTGAGTTCTTAACACAGATATAAACAGGGAACAGATAGAGATCTGTAAATTCACCCACCTATACATCCTGTACCAGCTCACCTTCCCTCCTAAGGCAAAACAGGCATGGGATTCTTGGGATGTCCCATGCAGAGCCAGGACTTGGACTTGATAATCACTGTGGCTCCCTTCCAGCTCAGGATATTCCATGATTCTGTGATATTTTGGCTTAGACCTTGTTGTTCTGTGTAGCCAGGGATGGCTTGTAGGAGCAGAGCTGTGGCTTTGCAGTTCAGTAGCTGCAAGGGAGGAAATCCTGAGTGAGCTGAGTGACCAGATTAATTCACGTTCCAAGAGTTCAAGCTGGTTCGTGTGTTTGAATGCACCTGTGGCAGGTGATGTGCTTCTGACTGCATGGCTGGGAAGTGCTGTGGAATCCTACAAATTACAGCAGTTGGGATGAACATCCATGAGAGAAAGTACTGAGGGTGAAAGACTGGGAAATTAGAAGGATTTGAAGGAACTGTGGTATGTCTGGATGGCAAGAAAGCACCATCTTTGGGTTTTTTATGCAACCAAAGAACACCTGTAGTTGATGGTGCCCTGTGTGGCTGCTGCTCTGCAGGGACAGGGCTGCTGAGCACTAAATGGTAGCAGACAGTGCAATGATTCTGGAATAAATTTGCTACTGCTCCTTTTGTCCTTCTGAAGGAGCTTCTGCTTCCCAGGTGAGGGGTTGGACCTGCAGTGCAGCATATCTGGAACTCCAGGAGGGCCTGGTGGCTGGAGGGGCTGAGTCTGCCTGGGAAGGAGTTGTTGGAAGGGCTTCCAGCTGTTGGGATTGCAGTGGAAAAAAATGGAAGAAAAGCAGCTTCCTGAGAGGAGAAAAGAGGAAATAAGAATGTTCAAGAACACCATTCTTTGTTTTTGTTTTTGTTTTTTTTCCTGAGTGTTTTATTGACCTGAATGATTTTGGTTGTTCAGGTTTTTTTTCTGTTGAGCTGAGCAAACTGGTGCTTCTTGACCTGATAAAGTGATTGTTTTCTGCCCTGGCAGTGGCAGGGTGGGGGTGACAAGATGCTGAATGGGGAGAGGACATCAGGATCAGGAAGCTTTAGGGCACAGAGCTCCCAACACTGCCTTACAGAGTGAAGGAAGATGGTGACTGGAGCAGGCAAAGTCCCAGCAGAGCTGCTTTCTAGGATTCTGTGTATTTGGTTATGTTTTCTGTTATCTCAGGACTCCTCAGCCAACTCTTTCAGGATCTGGAGGATGAAAACAAGGAGAGGTGCTGCTTTTAAAATGGTTAACCTCAAATAAATTGTTTAATTTCTGAAAGCGTTTATTATCTTAAAACTCAAAAGCAGAAGCCACAAGTTTGCAAACAGCTAAAATAAGTCTTACTGGACTACTCCTAGTTGCTACTTACAAGGTAGGAGCCTAAATGTCTTTAGAACACATAATGATATAAATTATCAGGGAAGTTGAACAAGAGACCTCCAGAGGTATCTTCCAACTGAAATTACACCTGGGATTCTCCCTTTTATTTTACTGTAAATATAATAAGAAACAAACCCATAAATTCTACAGTTGGTCCATGACAAATGTTAAAATTCAGCAGCGTTTTCCCCAGAATTTGCTGTAACCTGGTAGGCTCTCACCCAGCTGCAACTCTGTGTGACCCTTCGAGGTGAAGGGTTTTCCTGTGTGTTTGTGGGACTTCTGGAAGGTGATGGGAAGGGCCCAGGGCAGGTCCTCCCATAGCAGCAGCATCTCCAAGGGGTGTCTTTAGTGCCCCAGCACGAGGACAGAGAGGGGAGGGGGGGCTGCAGGTCCGTGTGTGAGCTCAGCCCCGCCGAGGGAGGAGCCCCCTCAGCCCTGACGTGGAGGGATGAGCTATTCCTGCCCTTCATCCCAGCCCGGGGGTGAAGCCGTGGGAAGCACGTGGCAGGAGGAGAGGTGCTGCAGGCAGTGGTGTGTGTACAGGAGAGGCTGGGAGGGAGCTCTTCCATGCATTTGCCTTCCTCGCTTCCCGCTGCATTGCTGGTTCATCCGACCGTGTTTGCCAGAAGATCCATCGCTGTCTCTGCCCCTTCCCCTCGCTTGGCTGCAGCCACGGCTCCATCCTGCTGTGCTGGGAGGGAACCAGGGTCACTGTGCCTCTCGTTTTAATGTTTATTTCCTCTCTTTTTTCCTCTGCTTGTCCTGGCTGTGGCTTTTCTCGGGGTCTGGGTGTACAGATGGATCTTTGTGATACTGACAGCGATGAGGAGATTCTGGAGAGGATACTGGAGCTCCCGCTTCAGAAGAACCACAGCAAGAAGTTGTTCAGCATCCCTGAAGTGACTGAGGACGAGGAGGAAGAGGAGGATGAGAAGTGTGTGACAGAAGAAAAGACAGACCCTCAAGATTCCTTGGAAACACAGACCTACCATTCAGGGAGAACAGAGAAGCCTCCCAACAGCAAGGAACCATTTCCAAAAGCAGATGGGAATAACACCTCTGTGGTGTCTGCTCAGACTCCACGGGAGGAGCATGGTGCTAAGGAGAGCAGAGGGGATGCTGACCATGCAAACCCTGCCTTTGGCCAGCTGGCCTGGGCTCAGAAGAAGGCAAACTGGAATTGGGGCTACCAGGAGAACGATCCGAAGCCTGTGAGTGGAGCAATTCCCTCTGGGAGCAAGAAGAAGGGAAATAACTACCGAGAGAAGATCCGGAGTCGGCCTGAGATGGGTAGTGATTTAACAGAGCACTGCAGTCGCCTGCTGGGCAACTGCAGCCAGATGGGCAGTGGGTTGTACAGAGCTCCCAGCCTCAGGGAGGAGCTCAACGTGGTCAGCAGTGCCGGTGGTAAGGAGGGGATGGATCTGTACAGCCGTGCCAGACAAGGCACCCTAAGGAAAAAAACCCCAAAGGCGGCGGGTTCAGGGGGCACAGAACCTGCCGTGATGGCCCCGCGCTGCTCCAGCCCCAGGAGCCTGGAGATAGACATCGAGTACGACTCCGAAGACGATCAGGATTCGACCTGTGCTTCCTCCCCTGAGAGCAGGCTGTGGCCAGAGAGGTCCCAGAGCTCTCAGGGCGACTGGAGTGATTGCTCCAGTCAGTCTGAGGCTCCCCACACGGATGGCAGAAGGGACCTGACCAGGCTGGAGGTGATGGAAGAGCAGGGTTTGGAATGGGCCGCGTCTCCGAGCCGGCGCGTGCGGTTCTTCCACCGGGAGAAGGAATGTGAGAGCAGCTCTGAGGAGCAGGGCTGGGAGCTGGACTGTAAGTCACCTGGCTGGAGAAGGAGGCTCGAACATCCTTCGAAGGGGATACGTAGCACCTCCTTGCACAAAAGGGTTGGGTGACTTTTCCTATTCTGGCTTTGAAGCAGCTTGCAGTGGCTCTGGCTTCCCTCTGCTTCCCTGGCCTGCCTGTATCTTGCTTTGTTCAGTGTTGTCCAGAGAGAAAGGAGCCTCCTCTAGGATTGTCTGGAAGAATATCTGAGAGATTCTGTAGTTCTGTGCTGCTCCGTGGCTTTTCTTGTAGTAGCTGCTTCTGCTTTTCCTGCTCCCTGACCGAGTGGCACCGATGCAGTATTCCTTTTCACTCTGGCTCTTCCTCCCCACGGCAGGAGGCTGTGGGAGGGACCCAAATGAAAATCCCTCCTGAAATAAGCTCATTGGTGTAGATCCTGACTGTAATGTCATTGCCTCCCCTGGAAATGCCCTTTCCTGCCTCCTCACCCTCGCCCAGGGGATCGTCGCTGGGGCCTGGCAGGGCTCCTGCCTGTCCTCAGATCTGTTTTCCAACTCCCTTGGTATTTCCAGCTCTAGAGTGTCCCTGAAGAGGAATGTTGCATTTGGATGCTCTGCTCTTTGTGGAGTGCATTTGGGCTGAGCGCTGCTCGCTGAGTCACAAGGCAGAGGCTGCTACTAACTCTGGTGATTCCAATTGCAGGCATCCAGTAATAAAGATTCCAGGGGCCCGGAGCTGGCCGGCACGGCCGCCTGGCAGGCTCCCAGCAGGAGACGGAGCAAGAGCGTAAGAAGAAGCCAAATGCAGAAACCTTTGCTCTCTAGTGCAGGTGAGCAGGAATGGGGAAGAGAGGTGGGCAGCAGGAGACAGGGAAGCTCCTGGAAGAGGCAGGGAGAGGCTGGCAGGGAGCACCTGAGCCGTGCAGGGCTGTGGCACGGGCGGGGTGCTGATGTCCTCTCTGGTGTGTCCCCTCTGTGCACAGGTCCTCCCAGGAGCGCCGCTCCCGAAACCTCTGCCAAGGAGGATGGCATTAGGATATTTGTGGCTCTCTTTGACTATGACCCTGTCTCTATGTCTCCTAACCCTGATGCAGCAGAAGAGGAGCTGCCATTTAAGGAGGGACAGATCCTGAAGGTAAAAGAGTAGTGAATTCCTATTCTGCATGGATCCATCTGGTGTTCCAGGGACAGCATAACCCTTGGGAGGTCTGCAGCTTCCTCAGGAGGGAAGCAGAGGGGCAGCACTGATCTCTTCTCTCTTAGGACCAGTGACAGAACCTGAGGGAATGGCTGGGGCTGTGTCAGGGGAGAATTAAGTTGAATGTTAGGAAAAGGTTCTTCCCCCCAGAGGGTGGTTGGGCACTGACCAGGCTCCCCAGGGCAGTGGGCACAGCCCCAAGGCCGCCAGAGCTGAAGGAGTGTTTGGACAACGCTCTCAGGGACAGGGTGGGATTGTTGGGATGCCTGTGCAGGGCCAGGAGCTGAACTCCATGATCCTTGTGGATCCTTTCCAGCTCAGGATATTCCACGGTTCTTTCTCTATGCATCTCAGTCCCTGCAGCACCAACAGTGTCTGTCCTGTGCTTTCCCTTGCAGGTGTGTGGAGACAAGGATGCTGATGGCTTTTACAGGGGTGAATGTGCAGGAAGGGAGGGATACATCCCATGCAACATGGTCTCAGAAGTGCAGGTGGACAATGATGAACTCAAGAAGCAGCTCCTGAAGCAAGGATTCCTGCCTGCTGACACAGCCACGGAGAGCCAAGGTACTGGGTCTGTGTGTGCCCTGCTGCTGAACTGTGAAAAGCTCAGTCGTGCTGTGTGGCCAGTGCAGCCCACCAAAACCATCCATAGGGCTGTCCTGGCATCTGCAGCCTGGTTTGGTGGCTGCACAACAGGGAGGTCTCTCTGGCTGAGGGAGGAAGGTGTTCCCAGCTCTCAGTTCGTTCCTGACTCCTGGAGCTGCTCCTGTCCTTGAGGTGTGTGAACTCAGCAGAGAGGGAGTGAGGCTGATCCTGACTAGGGAGGGGGAGACAAAAAGGTTTGGAAGGCAGCTGAAGGATGTGAATGAGAGTTTTCACTCACTGAACCCATGGGGGTGACCCTGCTCTTGGGTGAGAGAATCTGGGACTTGGGAATGGAGGAAGATGGGGAGGGAAAGGTGTGAGACAAGGCAGGCAGTCAGGAGTGTACAGGGAGCAGAGCTGGTCCTTGGGTTCCTCCTTACTTACCCCCTGGAGTATGTGGCCCAGTGCTTTGTGCACTGCAGAGACTTTCCTGTTTCTTCCCACTCATGTACTGGGAGAGAGGAGAGGAGAGGAACCATCCCTGGGATGTGCAGCCAGCACAGCACAGGCTCAGTCAGGCTCAGAGGCTGCCCCTGCTGTCACCACTGGTGTCCCAGTGCCTGTCCCTTATCCCTCTCATATCTCATCCTGCACCCTCTGTGTGCCCTCTGCTACCAGTGCCAGTTGTTGGACCTGCTCCACTTGTTAAAACACGAGGAAATTCCTATTTTGGAATCCCTGTTTCCCTACCAGTTCTGCAGGGAGAAGCAGCACAAGTGTGGGTCGTGGCAAAGGAAAGCCCTGACACTGCCTGGGCTGTTCCTCTACCCAGGAAAAAACCCAACCAATCCAAGAATAAGGAAACCCAAGAAAAAAAGCAGCAGTCCAACTTGTTCCCATTTCTGTGCAGGGAGACCCAGTATCCAGCCCCAGTAAGTCTTTAGATCTTTAAGGTCCCTTCAAATCCAAACCATTCTGTGATTCCAAAGGGCTGACATTGCCCAGCTCCTGAATGTGGGTCCCTGGAAGGTTGATCCTGAGTCTCTGGAAGGTTGATCCTGAGGAGCACAGGGATCAGAGGAACCTGATACTTTCACTGTGTGATTTTTTTTTTTTTTGGTAGGTTTGTCCTTCAGCCTCTCTCATGTCTAGGAAGAGGAGATTTGAATAAGGTGTTTTTCATATCCATACTCTTTTTTTCCTGTGTGTATCCTCCAGTGCCCAGAGATGGCTGGATCCCTGTAGTGGCCTTTGTCCCTCTGTGGATTACACGAGGCTTTCTGTCCCCTGTCCTATTGGATACTCCTGGAAAAATCAAGGAACTCAATAGCTCTGAGACTTCATGAAACATGGAGGGTGTGAAAGTCTTCAGGAGGGTGGTGGTAGTGGAAAAGATGTACCTTGTGTGTGTATACAGGGAGTGACCACAGGTTCAGCACTGCTGAGGTCACACTTTGAATCCTGGGGTCAGTTTTGGGCCCCTCATTGCAAGAAAGATGTTGAGGGGCTGGAGTGTGTCCAGGGAAGGGAACGGAGCTGGGAAAGGATCTGGAGCAGCAGGAGCAGCTGAGGGAGCTGGGGGGGCTCAGCCTGGGGAAAAGGAGGCTCAGGGGGATCTTCTCACTCTCTGCAACTCCCTGACAGGAAGGGAGAGCGGGGGGGGGGTTGGACTTGATGATCTTAAAGGTCTTTTCCAACCTTAAGGATTCTCTGATCCCTTGGCAGCTGGGCTGGCTGTCCCTCTGCTGTTTTCCTGCTGCCATAAACCCCCGTCACAGCCTTGTAACTAAGGAAATGGCCTTGGACATGCTGGTCTGGGCACTCCTTCTGCAGGTTCTTTGGGGATTTCATCCAGTACTGACCCTGCTCAGTGCAGAAGCTTTAGCTAGAGACCTCCCTAGATCCCTTCCCACCTCACCTGGCACATCTGAGGCGTTAAGGGAACAAGGTTTTATTTTGTCCTTGTGATCCTGCTTCTGAAAGTTAAATTGCAGCAAAGCCTGTCTGCTGTGGCCTGTGGAATGGCTGAAAGGCATGAGCACAGTGTGGATTTCTGTGTGTATTTGGGATGTGGATCATGCCTCCCCCGAGTCCACATACAAGGACTGGAGATTTGGGCTTTGCCCACAGAAATCACAGTGTCAGCTTCCCGGGGGAGGCACGTCCCACCACTCTGTTCCCTGTTCACTCTTCAAGGTGCTTTTTCACTTTCCATTATTCACTGTCTGTTTCTCTTGTCTGTTTATTTGCCTTTTTTTTTTTTGGTATTTTTACGAAGGAAATGGCACATTTTCTCCACCTCCACGCCGCCAAACCGTCCCTCCTCCAAAACCCAGACGCTCCAAGAAAGGTCTGTGTCACCCACTGCTTCCTCTTTGCTTTCTGCACTAGGATTACAGACTGCATTGAATTTTTGCTACTTGCTTACAGGACCCCCAGATGTTTGTCTCTGTACGACTGCTAGGAAGTGGAAAGAGAGCCCATCCCTGTGCTGGTGTTAAGTTTTTTAACAACAGTGATGTCTTTTATAGTTTTGGAGCTTGACCTCTGCTTCTTGTTACGTCCCTGAGTCCTGGTTACTGGCGTAGACTTTGAGTTGCATGACCAGTTTGCTTCTGTTGTTTGCTGCCTTGGTCTTTGTTCTTTTTATTGTGGTTTGTCACTTGTGTCTTGTGGTCACTGTGGGAAGATGAGCTCTCACTGATGAGGCATTTTCTTCCCCCCAGCAGGGCTGGATAAGCAGGAGAAGTACAAGTTTCAGCCAGGTGAGAATTGTTCTTTTTTTTACCACGATTGATTGAAATACAGACTTGTTTTATGGTCAGGGGCCTGTGGTGCTGCTTGAGACTGTAAGAAGAGTTTTAGTTCTTATGATTTAGTCATGGGTGCAGTGGCCTTTGAATAAGCAGGGAGTGTTTGCAGGGGGAGGGCACATGTGGTTCCCTGAGGAGCAGGAAAATCCCTCACTCAACCTTAGGATCCAAGGTCCTTTCAGAGGGTGCTCATTCTGCTTCATCTGGTGCATCATCTGTTGATGTCCAGAGAAGCCAAGGCAAACCCCTTGCCAGCCCATCCAGTTCTGACCCGAAACAGGGTTTAAATCCATGAGGTGAAATGCTGGACAATGTGTGTTTTCCGGAACACCAGGCTTGGCTTTTGTAGGCTCAGAGCAGCTCTGTCAGTAATGGGCTCAGCAGGCAGGTGGGGGTGGAAGTGCAGTGTGTTCCCTTTGTGCTGTTCCCCTGGCACTCGGAGGATCAGTTTTGTAGCTCTACAGCAAATCACTGTGTAGTGGGAGGAGAAATGTCCATTTGAGACACTGTAAGGAGTCTGCTGTGCTCTGTGTATATATACACAGATATATATATATGTGTGTGAATAATTTGAAAGCATAAAATAAAACATTCCTATATATAGGGAGAACACCAGGATGCTGGAATGGGGAGATGTCCCCAATTCTGTGCTTATGAGGTGATAGAGGAGATCAGAAAACTGCTTCACCAGACACCTCTGAGGTCTCTCTCCGTTCAGTTCCCCCACTGTTCTTTTTGCTCAGTTCTCTACAAGAATGCTGAAGGAGTTGCTGTGATCGGGGATTTTGTCCTGGTACTTCCAGCTCAGGATATTTTGTTCCCTTTCTTGTCCTGCAGGACAGAAACAGGAAGACATTGAAGCAGAACTGCTGACTCCTCGCAGGATGGTGGCTGTCTTTGACTATAACCCCAAGGAGAGCTCTCCAAACGCAGATGTGGAGGTAACCACCAGCTGCTCACCCTTTTTATAGGGTGTTTTTTTCCTTTCTCTCTTTTCCTTCTATCCCAGAACACTTTGGTGCAACCAGAGTCTCAGTGAAACTGTGTTAGTGTCTCATGGCTTTGTAACATCCTTTAATGATTAAGGACTAAGCAGATCTGGGGCAGGAGGAATTCTTACCAGCTGATCCAGGAAACCCTCTGGGAAAAGGAAAAGCTGCTTAAGGGTTTGAAAGCACTTCTGGTACTTAATGAGCGTGACTTTTGTGTTAAATACCTGTGTAGGTATTTAAGCAATGTAGCAAGAAGATTTAACTCCAATTTAATGGATCAGTCTTCAGACTTCTTCTTTTTCAAGCAGTCCCTCCATGTAGAATCATAGAATCATGGGATAGGTTGGGTTGGAAGGGATCTTAAAGCTGATCCAGTTCCACCCCCTGCCATGGGCAGGGACACCTTCCACTAGCCCAGGCTGCTCCAAGCCCTGTCCAGCCTGGCCTTGGACACTTCCAGGGATGGAAAGGAATATAATTTAAACAGGAAGGGATATAATCCAAACAGTATTTTTGTGGATAAGCCTGTTCCAGGTGGAAAGGTGGCAGTGCAGAATCCTTCCTTCAAAAAGGAGATTAGCACATGCCCTGTTCTCTGTTCCCCCATAGCTGTGTTAGTCCACTCTGAGCAAACATGAACGTGGGGTTTGGATTCAGATCCTTTCCTTGCATCCAGAAAGGAGTGTCTGGCCAAGACATGGCACAGTTTAGGGAATGCTTGCCTCCCAAGCTGAGTGTGTCATGAGCAGAACATCCTGCAGCTGAGGACAGAGTGTTTTAGGGATGGTGGAATATCTTGGGAGAGACAATGAGAGCTCGTATCCAGCCAAAGAACACTGTAAGCCCTTGTCAACAGGAAGATAACTGTACTTTTTGCAGGGATTTGGTCTTCCTAGAACCTTCTTACGGCCAAGAGCTCAAATTCTAGGACCAACCTGGTGCAGTTCCATTGGAGATCCTCCCTCCCAGGATATTCAGTCACTTGTTGTGCAGGAAGGGGGCAGCTGCTGCTTGTGAACTGCACCAGACTCCTTGTAGGATCAGCTCTGCCTTTCTGTGAGTGAAGTTCCCTGCAAGTGTCTCTCTGGAGCAAAGGAATTCTCAGCCAACAGGAGGAAGCTGCTGCCTCCAGGGAGAAAGTGAGGACTAGGGATGTAATAAGGTAACATATTGGAAGTAGGTGCCTTCCAGCTGACACTTGGGAAGTGCCAGAGTGTCTTGAGTGGGACACAACCTGTTTGGATTCTCCACTGGGCAGATTGTTCCTTTAGAAGATGCTGCTGACACCTTTTGTCTTTGGCCCTGTGCTCCCCAGAGCGTGTGCTGGGGTGTCTGACAGGACAGAGGGTGTGACAGTGTGTGCTGTGGTATGGGCAGGTTCTCCTTCCAGGTCTCACCTCCCTGTTTGTGTGGATTCCTGCCAGTGACTAATCCCTGAGCACTGCACACAGACAGGCTCCTCCAAGGGAGCAGGGTTTGTAATTATACTGAAAGAAATTAAAGGTATTTCTGTGTTTGCTCAGCTTATCCCCAACACACCTTTCCAGAGCAGATGGTAGGTCCTATTTTGAAGCTTTATTAAAACTGCTTTAAGAAACAGGCTTGTTTTTAATTTACAAAATGCTTCCTTAGCAGCAAATTCCACAGGTATCCACTTCAGTTGCTCTTCTGAATCCTGATCCTGCAAGACTAAACACAGTGGGCTCCCTCTGCCAGGGTGACTGTGCAAGAAGCCCAGGGGAGCCTGTTCCTGGAGGGAAATGCCAGGCAGAGCCTCTCCTGTGACCTCTGTTCTCTCACTCTTTGCAGGCTGAACTGACTTTCAGTGCTGGGGACATCATCACTGTGTTTGGCTCCATGGATGATGATGGATTCTATTATGTAAGTGCAGGGGTTGGGAAGGGCCTGTGGCTGCACTGGAAGTTGTTGGAGTCTGTTGAGAGGCAGGAAAGCAGAAATCAGGGAACAAAGGATTCTAATTTCGGAAAAGAACCAACCCCAGTTTTACTCAGTGCAGGGCAGTTTGTTTCTGGCAATCCATGTTCCTGCTGTAAACCCAATATCATGGAATGGTTTGGGCTGGAAGGGACTGTAAAGCTCATCTTATTCCACCCCCTGCCATGAGCAGAGACACCTTCCACCAGCCCAGGTTGCTCCAAGCCCCGTCCAACCTGGCCTTGGACACTTCCAGGGATGGGGCAACCCCCAGGGATGGGGACACTTCCACTTCTCTGGGCAACCTGTGCCAGGACCTCACCACCCTCACAGCCAAGAGTTTCTTCCTATTATCTAATCTAAACCCACCCTCTGTCAGTTTGAAGCCATTCCCCCTTGTCCCAAGTCCCTCTCCAGCTCTCCTGGAGCCCCTTTAGGCCCTGGAAGGGGCTCTCAGGTCTCCCAGGAGCCTTCTCTTCTCCAGGTGAACCCCCCCAGCTCTCTCAGCCTGTTTCCAGAGCAGAGGAGCTCCAGCCCTCAAATCATCTCCATGGCCCTTAAATATCCCAGTGGTTCTGAGTTTCTTTCTTGGCATCACTTGCCTGCAGGTTTCCCAAAGCCTCCCACACATTTGTCCGTGCACATCTGGGCAGAAGCAGCTCCTTCTCGGAGCTGATCCATCACCAGGCACTGGGACACTTGGGCAGGAGGCTGAAATGGTGCCCCAGGAACACAAACACCTCCCTGGGGGCTGTGCCTGCCGCCCAGCTCTGTCTGAACACGAGCCTTGGCCCTTGGATCATCCACCTCTTCCTGCAGGGAAGGCAGTGTGTCTTCACACATCAAAGCCGAGGTTCCAACTCCAGGTTAAGGCTGGAGGGTATCACTGGGAATGTTTTCATAGTCTTGGACAAACAACGTTGCCAGGATGGGTTTTGCCTCCCCCAGCCACCTCCTGTTGAACTGGAGACAATTTCCTGGGAATAAATAATGCAGCTCAGTGATTAGGGGTGCAGTGCCTACAGGACACTGAACCAGTAGTGCCTCATTCTTTAAAAACATTAATAAATCCCAGAGCAAAACAAAGGCCTCTGGAAAGCCAGTGGCACAGTCATCTTCCAGTAGCTTCCAGGATGGCAGTGGACATTTTTTGAATTTGTAGAAGGGACCATGTTGCTGGAATACCTTTGTCCTGCCTTGCTTTTCTTCCTTTACTCTCTCCTGTGTTTTTGGGCTCTGAATTGTTCCACAACTAACGAGGATATGAGCTCTGGGATTTGCTGAGGATCCTTCCACCAGGGGAGTGTTCTGGGCTTCTCTCAGGCCACTTCCCAGCCTTCTCTGCACCTCAGGTTACTATTTCTCCAGCAGCCAGGAAACCTGATGTGAGAACTGAATGTTCATCTTGCAGGGAGAGCTGAACCAACAGAGGGGGCTTGTCCCATCCAACTTCTTGGAAGCTGCTCCTTCAGATGGAGACGTGGGGGAGGAATTTCACTCAAAAGATAAAGAAGCTTCTCCTCTGAGTGCTGAGAGCCAGGTAAGATGTGTGACTGCATGGACAGACATCCAGGCTGGGATGTGGCTGGAATTGGCCTTGCATGCAGGATGGATGGAATTGCTGAACTTGCTGCATGAGCCCAGTTCATCCCATGGGAGACACTCAGGAGTTTAGAGGGAGTGCTGGGAGCTCTTCCCAAAGACTTGTAGTGCAAAAGGAGGCACAAAGCAGTAAAACCCGCTGGGGCCTCAGTCTCATTGTGGTCAGGTGGGTGAAGAGCATCCCAGATCCCACTAGAAAATTGTTTGGGTCCACAGGATGGTCAGTGGTGAAATCCTGCTGCAAGCAAAGCACTTCAGCAGCTCCCCAGACACAGGAAGTTCCTCAATTATGCTCATATCCATGCCAGAGAGTTCTGGAATTAGTGACACCCAAACACCAATGCTCTTCTACCCACCCTGAGTCAGATATATCTTAATCCAGGCCGAGGTGCTCCTGGGTAAATTCAAAACACGCTGAGGGATTTCCCAAATGGATCTGTGGGATGGATCCTAGAGCTTTGAAAGCATCCCACAGATGCAGGGAATTCAGAGGTCAAGCCAACCCCTTGTAGTATTTTGCTGATACTCCTGGAACAAATGCTCAGGTAGGAAATTTGGGTCATCTCCCAGGCTCGGTGAGTCCTCAGGGGGTGAGGCCAAAAGCAGCTCCCTGGTCATTCCAGGGCCTTGTGTCACTCCAGGGCTGGAGGCAGGGGGAGACCCAGCTCAGTCCCAGCTCACATGTGCTCAACCTTCAGTTCTTCCTGGGAGGTTGTTGGCACTGTGTGGTGGTGCCAGACCCACAGGAATGTTGGAGCAGGCCCAGGCTGGCTCTGAGCCGGTCCTTAGGGAATGTGTGGCCCTGCATCCAGCTCTGTTGAACGTTCCACTGGTGCCACCCCAGCTTCCCTGCTCTCTGCAGAACTCCTTGGCTTATTTCTCATGCTCAGCTCTTCTCTGTATCCACTTCCCCTTTCAATCTTTAGGTGCTGCTTGGTCTCCCTTAGGCTCCACCTCAGCCCCATCCCTCGCTTCCAGGCATTCCAGGCTCTGTGGGTACAGGATTTGCACCCCAGCCTTGATGCCTTCTCACACAGAGCGGGCCTGGCTCAGAGATGAGATTTGTGGGCAGCTTTTTGGATTATCTTCTGAGCTCAGCAGCTGTCTGGGTGCCCTGTGCTTCCCTCTTTAGGAACCTGGTCCATGCTGGGGAATCACAGGTTAATCAGCTGTTACTGCCAGGGTTTAAGAGCCCTGAGGTGACACAGGTCTGAATTTCTGGGGTTCCTTCTTCAGCTTCCCTCTCAAAATGATTTGCTCTTCTCAAATGAACTCATCTGTTGGAAGAGAGGGTGCCAAATGAGACCTGAACCAGTAAAATAAACCAGGTGGAATTCTCAGTGTAGCTTATTGCAGATCTCACCCTTCCCTCCAGCAGCACAAGGGCCTGTTTCAGGTGCTGGGGGTCCTTATTCCAGCCCCAGCCTGGGTTCTCCTGGAAACCGGGGGGGAATTCAGGTAACCTTTCTGCCACTTGCAGGTGTGAAGGGTTTGTAAAGCCAAAACCACTTTCCTCTCTGCTCTGCACTCCTGCTGGGCTCAGCAGTGGGTGACTGATCCCCCAGACACAGCAGGCCCAGATATCCCTGTGTGCTGAAGGCTGGAAGCTTTTTTCCTGTGATGCAGGACACTTTTTTTTACACTTTCAAGTGTGTTAGAACAGCCCACATAAAGTTTCAGCCTTGCCTTCCCTTCAGATCTTCCCATTTGTCTCCAGTCCTCTGTGCCAGAGATCTATTGGAGCTTCCCCTTGCACTGGCTCTGACTTGGGGTCTGCAGAGCAGGAACCTTTTGCCTTAGTTTAGGGTGGATTTGGTACTTTTGGTACTCTCCTGATCTGTGAACTGCTGTTCTCTGTAGTCTGAAGGCTTGGAAAATTCAGTTGGTGATCATTAAACCAATTTTATTTCAGTGGGAATCAACTTAAACTCTGTAGACATGACTGTGCCTTGGCTGCTTGTGTGTTGTGCCAGCCTGACTCCTGTCCTGCTTCATCCCTGATTCACCTGGATCCCTGTCTTGAGGAATTCTGGCTTAGCACTCTTAGCACTCCTCCTGCTTGTGCTTTGCAATCCAGATCTGTCTAAACAGCTTCCCAACGTGAAGGGCACCTTTTCCCCCTTTTAAAAGTGGTACATTTACCCTGCTCAGAACCAAACTTGTATTAATGAACTGCATTTAAATGTGTTTAGTGATAACTGAGGAGGCAGAATCTGAGCCCACAGAGGTTTGGGCTCAGTCACAGCAATCCCAGCATCCCAACCTGTGGGCAGAACACCCGATGGGGAAAGCAGAAGGAAGAAATACCTCCTCCTGTAACCCAAACATATTCCATATCCATCCCTGAGCTGGAATGAACTCTCACAGTGATAGAGCCATACCTGGGCCTTTCCAAACTCCAGGGGCATATTCACTCCACAGAGTTAAGGAACTTGCTTGTTCAATCTGCTGTTGGCAAAACAGGCTCCCAGCAAATTCCCAATCCCAGCTTGAGCCCTGGCACTCAGGGGGCATGTGTGTGCACCATGGCACAGCTTTGGAATTGGTTAAAGCTCAGCCAGAAGCTTCTCCAGCATGATCATGTGAGTGATTTCTGAAATCACTTGTAACTTCTTGGATTTGATGTTTTCCCCCTGTCTGTCACTCCCCCTCTCCCTGCTGCCCTTTCAAAGGCCTGAGAATAAGGACAATTTATTTCCAAATTGACACTTGGGGAAGGTGGATCATTTTGAATGATTTCTGAGTAAATCTTAAAATGCTGGCGACTGAAAAGGTGAAGCAATTTAACTTATGAACTGACAGCATTTGGGGATTAGAATAAACCACAAAAAACAACAGCAGAAAGAGGAGGATCCAAGAAGTTCTGGTCACAAGCAGGGCCCCAAAACACTCGTGGGCACCAGCTCAGAGCAGTTGCTTTAATGCTGTGGCTGTCCAAGGATTATTTTTGCATCAGTAACTTGCAGTTTCTGTCAAAGACTGATTGTAAAGCACCTTCAGAAAGTGTTTGATTCTAATTGATGTCATGTATTTATTTCTGCCTGTGTTAACGCACCCGGGACGGTTCTTTTCTTCAGAGAATGAGGAAGAGAAGAGTCCAGTGATAGATATGAATGATACATAGAGAGAGCAACCATGTAAGTGTGTGTGAGAAGACCTTCAACCTCCCACCCAGCACTTCACAGGGTCCTGCCCCTGCAGTTTGCTCCTTTTCTTGCTTGTAGTTTGGCAGGTTGGTTTGGGGCTGTGCTGGCAGGTCCCCCTTCAGATCCTCTCCCATGTCAGACCTTTCCCTGCCAGATGGGTTCTGTGTCAAAGACAAGCCATGATCTGTTCAGCACATTGTTTGGAACAATTATCAGGTGGTTTTGGGGACCAGGATATTCAGGTTTGGGAAAGACCTGCTTTATAATTCAGCCTTCTACCACTGTCCACTGTCCACATCAACTTTGTTTGGCCTCTACAAGCTCCTGCTCAGGCTGAGCACACTCACCCTGGACTTTTTGCCTTCTTGATTTTACTCCTTCCTGACAGCAGTCCTGAAACCCCCCTGCACACCCTCAATTGAAGAAAACAGTAACATTTAGTCCCCAAAACCAACCCTGTGTGGATAATTGTTCTGTCAGCACTTAAACGACTTTGGGGCTGGGTGGGTGAGACCCCTGGTTTCGGGGGGCAGTGGGAGCAGATCTGTATTTTTCTTTTCTGTTTTTTTCTGTTGTTTTCTAGAAATTGTGCAAGTCAGTAATACCTGAGAGAGCACTGAAACCACCCCCTGAAAACTGACATCACTCTTCCGTTTATCAACTCTAATAACTTGTATGAGGATCTTGCCAGAGCAGTTTTTCCTTTATTTTTTTTCTTGGAGAAGAAACCCCAATTTTAGTATCATTTGTTTCTTACCAGGTGATTCTGTGAACTGGTTCTGTTGCTTTTCTGCCACACAGAGACCTCTGAGAATACCTGCACGTGATTGTGTTGGGAGAGAGTGTCTCGGGTGTGGAACTGCCTGGGCATCCTATTCCACAGCTGGGAGTCAGCAGGATGGGACTTCCAGCCACAGGCAGGACACTGCCTGTCACTGCCTTTGAGCTGTTTGATATTTGATAACAACATTGATGCTGCAGTGTCCTTATGACAGTAAATAATTGTGACTGTGAGTTGGGTTGGGTACCTGCCTCTCAGTTTGCACAGGGCCTTCCATCCACAACTCTACAGGAGAAATTGTCTGTTGGGCCACCAGATCTGCCCTGAAAGTGTTCCACCTTTGCCAGGAAAGTGGTTTCCAGTGGTGCATGGGCAGGGCCTCCCCTGCTCTGGCTGCTCAGGGGTGACTGATCCCCTGGAGGCAGCAGTTTGGCCCAGATATCCCTGCATGCTGAAGGCTGGAAGCTCTTTTCCTGTGTTTCATGGCACCTTTTGAAACAGAAATGCCTTTTAAGTGTGTTAAAACAAGCCCTGTAAAACAGCCATGTTTCAGCCTTGCCTTCCCTTCAGCCCTTCCCATTTGTCTCCAATCCTCCATGCCAGAGATCCCACAGAGCTTCCCCTTGCACTGGCTCTGAATTTGGGTCTGCAGAGCAGGAACCTGTTGCCTTAGGTCTTGCACAGCCCTTGTTCTTATGAAATTTGATTTTGTTAATGTCCTGCCTTCTGTCCCAGAGCCTGTTGGAGCCCACCAGGCTCCCTGGCCCAGGGATCCATGGATGCATCAGTACCTGTCTCCATCCGTGCTCCCGGGAGCTGCTTCACTTACTCAGCTGTGGAGCAGCATCAAGTCTTCTAGTGGGGCTTTTCTGCTCTCCTGTTCTTAGCCCAAAATTCAGGAATTTCAGAATGTCAGAGCTCAGGCAGGGCCTGGGCTGTGGGTACTAAAACTTCAATCCACTGGAAATTCCCTAAGTGGACCTGCACCTTCCCAGAGGAGACTGGTGGGGAGAAGGCCGAGTTAGAGAACTCCGAGTTCATGTTGGTGTGACATCCTTCAGCAGCTCTAACTTCTGCTTTTTTCTTTTGCTTTCTGTTTTTCCCCCCCCCAGCTGAACCCAGATGGATGTGTTGATCAGAGTGACTCCTCACCATCTCCTCCTTCTCCACCACCTTCCTGCCTTGTCCCGTGCCCAGAGCAGGCGTCGCTGCCCCTTCTCACCCGCAGCGACAGCCCTGGGCAGAGCAAAAAGAAGAGAAGCTTCTTCTTCAGAGGGAAAAACCTCTTCAAAAAACTTGGGTCCAATAAGAAAAACTAACAAGGGGGGGGTTATTCTGCACAGAGACTGAGAGTTCAGGAGAAACCCCCTGCAATAAGCTGATTATTTTCATAGGGAAGAAGTGTGACTTGAGAAAATCGTGGAGTGGGGGTGGGAGCTGTGCCTGCTGAGAGCCCCCCCAGGGGGGCAGTGGCTCTGGGGGTGTGAGGGCTGAGCTCTGGGGGGGTGCAGCTCCCTCCGTGCGCTGGTCCCCTGTAAATATTTTCATTTCAGAATTCTATTCTGGCTGTAATTTAGCTAACTGGCTTTTCCCAGCAAAGCCCCTTAGGAAGAGACCCCCTTGTACTCCACCCCCTGGTATTTCTCTGCTCCAAAGGAGCTCGTGGCAACTCCTTCACTTCCCGCAAAGAAAAGTTGCACTTTTCTGTTCCCTGACTCCCCTTTGCTGTCTCTGGGCTGACGAGTGAGTTCTGATTCGTACTGTAAACTGTAAATATGCAGCTGTGCCTAGAGCATCCCACACTGCCTCAGTCAGGATCCAGCACCAGGACATTCCCATGGAGGAAGGAGCAGTGCCCTGCTGGGAGTTGGTCCTTCAGCCTCTGGCTTGGGCTGCTGGAAAGCTGCTCCCGCCTGGTCCACCTTGACCACGGCCTGGCTGGGGCCTCCGCCTTATGATTTATTTATTTATCAGATTATTTATGGGTTTCTTGAGCTCATTATTTATTTCTCTATTTATTTATTTATTTGGTTGGTTGTTTATTTATTTCTTTCCCGGCCGCCTCTTCCCACGGTTCCCCTGGGTTGTTTTCCAGGCTGCTCCGGAGCCCGGAGCGTTGGGAAGAGCGGGGCTGGGGGATGGATGGAGAGAGTTTGCAGCTGTTTTCCTGGGAGATGCTGTGCTCCTGGAGTTCAGACACATCCCTTTCCAAGCCAGGAAGGGTTTTGTACCACATGGTTCCTGCCCTTTCCCGTGTTTCTTCCGTTGCATGTTCCAGTTCCTTGTTTTTGGAAGGTGAGGTACGTGGGTGGTGCCAGCACAGTGTCCACGAGTGGTGGTGGTACAGTTTGTTTTTATTTAATATCAAATTTTATTATAATAAAGTCTATTTTCACAAAAATACATTTTCCTTAAAAAAGCCAAGGATTCGGTGGTGCTTCTTTGGGGAGGGTTGGGGAGGGCAGAGAGGGAAATGATCCCAATCATGGAACGTTCTGCACCTTCTGTGTCACCTTCTCAGTGGGACAGACCCATGTGTGGTGCTCCTGGGTGGGAAGGGCACAGGGCTAGGGGGGAGGAGGCCATGGAG